CTTCAAGTCTAGTATGTTAACATGCCTTAAATATTGAAATGAATTTAGTTGAAGAAGAACCATGGCGATCAAGCTTGCATTAAATTCAAAAGAAAAGGATAAGAAGTTGTTTCTTTCTTGTAATTGGAAGGATTATATATGATTGTCATTCAATGTAACAATGAAAAAATAATGGACATTTCTAGAAGATGGATATGAATTTCTGAAAGGTGGTTGAAGTAAGAGAACTGGGGAGAAATGGCCTGAAATAGCATTCATAAACCAGTTGAAGAGGCGGAAGAAGCATGTAACGTGAGTATCAGTATTTGTGGTAATTTCAGCATAAATTTGAGAAAAAATTATTAAAAAGATATGAAAAGGGTAAAAAAAGAGTATATTTATTCTTATAAATATAAGAATAAAATTTAATATTACAATCTGATTCCCCTAAAGACCCCCTTTCCGATTCCCTTCCTCACTCCTTTTAAGACCTTCCCTATCCTTGACCTATGCCCAAAATTCTCTAATCCAGCTTTATCAGACTTGATAACATCAGATTGACTCTCCCTAAACTTGCTTAGAAGCTCACAGGTCTTCATAAAATTCTTATGATGACCTATCCACATAGAACACCTAAACTCATCCCTAGGTGAGGCCTGTCCTTTATCCAACATGAACCTAACATTTAAGTTCTCAAGCTCCTTTAAACCCATAAACTTGGCAGCCCTATCAAACATACCAATCTCCTCGTCCGAAACGTAGGGCATGTGAGTCGTGTAGGTAGGCATATTTGAGATTTTAAATTGCCTCTAAATATTGCATCCTAATGCATTTATCGTCATAAACTTCACATGTATAGATTCTCATGTCGGGCACATGGACAGCATGGAACGACAGGTGGATCCACTTGGACATCTCAATGGAGATGGAGTCAAGGTGGGAACTAAAGAGAAGAGAGGGATCATAGCTAGGCTAAATGAGAAAAAGGGGCTTTCCAGGAGAGAACTCTAGAACTTGATATTAGATACCAATGAGATGTGTTTGAGATGTGAGGAGACAACTAAAGATTAATTGGGTTTTAGGTATATGGTCTTAATTCTAAGGTATCATCAGAATTGAGTGATGGTGCAAGTGTTGAAATTGCAAAGAGGGATAATGACGTCAAGAAAAATAATGTAACAAGGAATAGACTGCATAGTTCAAGTTTCTTTCTTCCATAAAATGGCAAAGCTCTCTTCTACTTCATTCCCCATTTCTCATGTCTTCCCCTTCTCTATTTTTAATGCCATCATGCACTCCCTAACGTTGGGAAAGAAAGGCGAATGACAATGAGAGTTAGTTGAGGCTGTGCCTTCTCTCATATTAGGAGGAGGAAGGGAATGGGTAGAACCAAAAATATGGATTAGATTATATGAGTTAGCTTGAATAATTAGTTATAAGGGTCGGGTCGGGTTGAAAAAAAATTAACCCAAATAAAAACAAGTTTTTTCTGACTCGGATTATATAACTTGTGAATCATGTGAGTTAACCTTAATAAGTTAGAATTGGCCTGTTTAGCCCCAATTATTTGTTAAAAAAGTTTAAAAATTGAAAAAAGGAGAAAATTTTGTAGATATAAACTATATTATGCATGATTTATTTAGTTGTATCAATTTATATATTTTGTACAAATATTATAAATTAATATTTTGGTGTATTTAGAATGAATTATGAAAAATATCAAATTCAAATTATTATTTATGCATACTTTAAAAAATTTATAAAAAATAAAAAATAAAAAATGGGTTGGTGAGTTGGCCCATTTAATCCGCCAACCCTCTAAAATTGGGTTGGGTTGGGTTGAAATTTTTTCAACTCATATAAAAATCAATCGAACCCAACATGACCTATATTTTTCTCAACCCATATAAGTCAGGTTAGCCCATATTCCTACCTCTAAAAATGGAAGAGTGAGTGAGCATGTGCGTTTGGGTAAATTCACAAAAAAAAGTTTATTTACAAGTAAATCCTTAGACAATGGACCTATAGTTATTTATGCTTTTAGTGGGAATTATTGAGTAATGAAAATGCTTACAGGAAACTTTATTGTGATTTTTTCAATTGTTTTCATTCACCTGGACCAAACCTCAAGATTGTAATATTTGGGGGGTTAATTTTTTTTTAGGAGGGGGGTAGTATATAAAGAGGGATGGAAAGGCTTTTCCAACTTAAGGGTTAAATGACATTTCTATTCCTTTACTATTTGTAATGGTTTAAAGAGGAATGAAAAGGATTGAGGTTAGTTTTCTATTTGATTGATATAGAACTTCACTTGTGTACGTATACTTTCCTAAACTAATCAAAACATTGATACCATTTAAAACTGCATGAGAGAAATTTCAAGATTAATTTTTTTATATTTTACAAGTCATTTAAAAAATAGTAATAGTAATTAAAAAAGAAACATACTAATTAAAACATGAAAAACCATTAATTTAAACATAAAGAAAAAACATTATCCCAATAGTCATTTGTGTTTACAGAGTAAATTAAAAATGGTTGTGCTTTAATAAGCATTTGATATTTTGAATTAAGAAAAACTTATATACTTAATCTTATATACTTATAATATTTAGATTAATAAAAACTTGAATTTGAACTAAATTTTTTGTTTGGATATACAAAAACTTATGAATTTAGATTTAGTTAATCCAAATCCACTTAAAAATTAAAATTATAATTTTTTTGTAATTTTAATTTTCATTTATTTAGTAATCATTTGAAATTTTAATAACTTCAAATGAGTCTCATATTTTTTTATCTATTGTTGGCTAAAAAAATACAAATAAAATCATCATTTTCAATTTTATATTTTCATTTTTTTGACCAAATTTTATATTTTCATTTTGAATCTTAGTTTATTTATCTTCTTCATTTGAAATTTTTTAAACTTTCAAAATAAATTTTTTTAAATATATAGATTTTAAATGTGAGATTCCAAATCCAAATCCATCAATCCTATCATTACCTTAAAGTATTTATTTTTAATTAAGTCAAGACATGTGATCTTCTATAAGTTATTCACTTAACAATACACTATTATTATTGATATTATTAACATATTAAAGTTTACTTATTTTAATTTGATTAGATAAATTTTATTAAATATATAAGACTAAGCATATAAGTATTTTAAATTACTCCTTCCGATCTTCATATAGGGCGCATTATAGAAAGATTTTTTAATCATTAATAGAAGACACTTGATGGAATATTAATTTTTTTCTCGATATTATTCCTATTTAAACTCATCAAATATAAAAGAAAATGTAATGTAAATTTAATTTTTTTCATTTAAATAGGGTGAGATTGAAAACTTATTATATTTTTAGATAAATTAATAATTAATTATCTTTTCAATGGTATTAAAGTAAATAAATGTGTCTTGCAATAAAAAGAGGTGGGTGTATATGTTATTTTGTAGAAGTTGATAAGTAATTAGTGCTTTCATTTAAAAATACTCCTCACAATTAAAAAAAATTACTTGAAATATTTTTTGTAGCGAAATTAGACATTAAAAAATCAATAGTATTTAATAAATGATATATTTAAAATAAAAAGGTTTTAAAGATATGAATTTTCTATATCTTCTTGAAGTGGTTAAAAATTATATATGAGATATAAGCAGGCTCTAACTCTTAAGGGTGGAGATAGGAATAAGGTTTAGGCTTGTTGGGCCGCCTGTTTAAACCTATTTTCATAAAAATTGATGTTTGAAAAAAATAACATTTTTTAGAAAAACTAAAATTTGAAACCCAACCCTGATAGATCTAGAAAAAGGGGCTTGGATATGGGTAGCCCTTTTAAACTTTTTTTTATTTTATCTCTTAAAAATAAAATATTTTTAATTTTAAATTAATTAAAACATTAAAATATATGTTCATATTTTAAAATTAAATTTTTTATTATTTATTTTTATTTTTTAACATTGTAATTTTGATTTTAAAAATATGAAATATTATAATTAAATTTTTTAATTTTAAAAAATCCAAATAAAAATAATAATAATAATAATGAGCATATGGGTTTGGCTCTAAACTATTTAAATAAGAGTCAAGTTAGAAATTAGCCATGTTTAAAAAAACTGAACTTAAAGCTTGAATCTATATGGGTCAAGCTTGCCCATTGTCCACCTTTATTTAAGGACTCAGGTTTTTGAACTCAATTTTTTAAAAAATGATTGGTTTTTGAAGTTAGACCTTTATTTAAAAGGTTTAGAATTAGGCCAGTAAGTCTATTTTATTTATTAAAAAAATTTTAAAAATAAATAATAATAAAATAAATAAATACGAATTTAAATATAAAATCTTGATCAAGCTTTAAGTTAAAAATAAAAATTTTCAATACAAATCAATCTTATCAAATTTGATAAATACAAAAACTTTTGTATCATCGAAACAAAAAAATAGACCTTTTAAAATAATTGTGTTTAGGAAATTGGTAAAAAATCTGTCAACATTGTATTAAAATAAATGATAAAAAAATCAACATCAATTATTTTGATAACACAATACTTAAACCCACATCAATCTTTTAAAGAATATGGCTTGGAGAGCCGCATGTCCAACTTCTTTTTAAAGGCCCATTAGGATCGGGTCTCAAAACATAATTTCCTTAAAAATCCAAAATTTTTAATCATAAACCCTTATTTAAATAAAATTTTTAAATTTGTCTCTTATTTCTAACTCTATTGAAAAAAGTTCATAAAATAAAGTTTAAATTTCTTTTAAAAAATGTGTTCATATTTAATATTCAATTATACTTTAAATTAAGTATGTAGAAAAATAATAAGATGTACTTATCTTTTCTTTAACAAATAACTCACATTATAAATTAAAGTGAGTATAATTATAAGAATTATTATGACTTATAATTTATTTTTCTTAATAAAATAACAAAATAAATATTTAATTTTTTAAATTTAAATTAAAAAAAACTTAACATTTTGGCAATATTAAGATTATTCGAATTTGGATTCAATGGTCAGTTGTAGGCAAAATCAAAATATTTGGGAACAAGAGAATTGCAGGAAAAGTGAGGGGGGAGTTTGATTTTTGGGTCCAGCGAAAGAGGTGTATCTTGAATCCTGCCTTGCTGGTACTCCGTTTTGCGTTCAGGAAAGGTGGCTTCGCTGGTCAATTCCTCCTTTCCATTCCCTTTCCCTAACTTGTTGATTTCGGTCCGAATATGTTATGTGTAGTTTCTGATTTTCGTTATGATGAATATGCTCGTCAGCCCTGGTGCTTTTGACCCCTTTCGGTTTCGATGGAATTTTTGAGTTCATTCTGTTCGTTTTTTGTTCAAATGATGGCTCCATATAATTTGACACGTTCTTTTCTTTAAAGTTTTTCAGTGATCGCTGGATTCAAACTACGATTGGTAAATCGATTTGTGGGCTGTATTTCGCTGGAAATGGTGATCAATCCATATTATTTAACACTATATATATTATATATATATATATATATTTTTAGATTCCAAGATTTCGTGTTTTATATGTTTTTTGTAAACTTCGAATTTCCAGATCCGGTTCATACTCTTGCAGAACAGACAGGGGAAGACCCGTCTGGCTAAATACTATGTTCCTCTCGAGGAGTCGGAGAAGCACAAAGTTGAATACGAGGTGGGATCATTTTTAAGTTTCCTCAAAGACTAAAATTGTCGCTAGGCAGACTTTTGTTTTTGGGTCTTCCTCGGATCTTGTTTTATGGTTTGTATATGGTCATTTTGCAGGTTCATCGACTGGTGGTAAACAGAGACCCCAAATTTACGAATTTCGTTGAGGTAAAATCTTCCTAGACGGTTGTCTTGTATCTACTTTTTGAACTTCGTGTTCTGAGTCAATATATGAGGAAAAATCATATTGTGTTTATTCTCCATAAATGTTCTGCGCCACATCTCTAGTCTGAACAATTCATGGTGATGAGATAATTATTTTTTCGTACAAAATAGATTATGGTTTTTTGGCTTTCCATTTCTTTATCTTTTAATGGGATATTATTATGTTAAAACGCATCTGGAAAATTTTCTGAGAATTGAGTTATACTGAAATGAGATTTTGATGGTTTTTCATTTTTAACTTTACTGGCAGGCAGGTGTTTTTCCCCTTCTGACTTTAACTGTCTGCCTGACTATTAATTTGTTCAAGACTAGTTATAACTTCTGGTATATGCTGATTATCTTCTGACTATGTGCTCGTAACATTTCTTTCAGTTTCGTACACACAAAATAATCTACAGGCGATATGCTGGACTCTTTTTCTCACTCTGTGTGGACATCACTGATAATGAGCTGGCATACTTAGAGTGCATTCATTTATTTGTGGAAATACTGGATCATTTTTTCAGCAATGTTTGTGAACTGGATTTGGTTTTTAACTTCCACAAGGTCTGTTTATTTACCATATTTTCTCCAATACAATAAATGTATACCTTCTTTCATGAAGGAGATCTATGTTGGTGGTGATATTTGTTCTTTGTCATCCTCCTCCTCCTCCTCCTCTTCTGTATAACTTTGGTTGGCACCAAGCAACAAGGAAAGCTATGCTTATGTTTATGCAAATCTTTATGACTAAAATGATGGCCTTTGATTGTGGATGTAGATATCTGTATTTGCGAAGTCTCTGTTTATTATAGTTTTCAAAATTTTGGATTTGGATTGTGCAGCATTTGCTTTTGAACTTGTGTGAAAATATCATAATATTGGCTAGACGTGTTGCCCTGAATGATCAAATTGGTATGTCATTTATTTTGCTATAACATCCTGGTGGTATTTAATGCCAATCTCAATGTGATTAATTTGTTAGCTTTGTTTCCGGACTTTCTTTAATAGTATCCGGCCTGCATAGTATACTTAAAACGTCCAGCTGTACTTGTATTCATGTTTATAAGATATGAATTAAACATCCACCCGTGCATGTATTTTTTTTTAATGCCAATTCTCGTTGTGACCGAATCTACTTGGTTAGTTTTGTGGCTGAGATGTTTAGCTATTATTACTCATCAGTGTTGAATGTATCCTTAAGATCAGTTTTTATTACGTTCTTATATATATTTGCTTATCTGTCTTTAAGGTCTATCTTATACTTGACGAATTCATTCTAGCGGGTGAACTGCAAGAAACAAGCAAGAGGGTAAGTTTTCTTTTGGAATTGCTTTTTATGATATCATATCCAAACTTGGTTGCATGCTATCTGTTATGTACTTTAAGCCATGAGCTACCAAATGATTTCAAGCCTTTAGCTGCTCCAGTTCTTCTAGCAACTTGTGGTGCAATAACAATCCTTTACCTCGGTGTAAATTTGTACCTATTTTTGTGCTTGCAGGCAATCATTGAGAGAATGGGGGAGCTGGAAAAACTTGAGTAAAACATAACTGTTAAGAGAGAATGGGGGAGCCGAAGATTCTTTTCGGGTGCTTCTTCCAGCTCTTGTAATTGTGATTTTAGAATTTTGGAATATATTTCTGGGCTTATCATTAGTTGTGTGATGATAAATGAATTTCACAAGGCTCAACCTGTGATGTATCATTTAAGCCTTTTTTTTGTTTGACAGGCTTATGTCTCTATTTCTGATAGGGTTCATGGATTGTCGTTTATGTATTTGTGTCTTTGTTCTCGGCGGTACTTACCGTCCTTCCGTTTCCCAAGGTCAGTCTTAGGAAGAAAGAGAATTAGTCGAATGGCGTGATTTGGGTATCGTTTTTGACCACTGTGGCATATAGGGATTAGGGGGCTTGGTGCCGTGGGCATTTCACGTTCCTTTTTTTTTTTTTACCATCACATTTGACGTTCTAATTGAAATTTTGGTCATTTGACTTTGCCCAACTTCTAAGTGCGTTTTTGGTTTTTTGTTATTCTAAAGTCAATTTATTAAAAATTAATTTGATAAAAGTTAATTTAGTGAAGGTGAGTTATTGTAATTCAACTTTATATTTGGATGTGTGTGTGTGTATCCCCCCCCCCCCCCCCTCAATGAAAAGGCAATCAATAGCTAGGGAAGGAAGATACACGAATGAGCTAAAAACAAAACATAAACTTAATACATGATCGTCCTATCATTCCAAAGGAGTGGGGCATAGGCAGGTGGAATTATCAGGAGCACGCATAGTCCTTGAACGCTTTCGTGAGCTGCACGAGCTAAATAATTAACACATTGAATCTCCTGTCTCGCAGGATATAAAATCTAAATCTCCCAATGATTATACAACACTTCTCTTATCATGGAAATATCCTCTTTCAGTGGGTGATCATCTGGAGTATCCCTCATTAACAGGTTAATAGCATCTAGTGAATCGGTATGTAATTGTGTCTGAGGAAATTCCATGTTTTTACGTACTTCCAGACCTGTTCAAATAGCTAGGAGTTTAGCGGCAGTTGATCCTTGGCATCCCAGATTTTTCATAAAACCCATGAGCCAATCTCCGTGCGTATTCCTAAAAAGTCCTCTGTAAGCTGCTTGTCCTTGTTGCCAAACAGATCCATCCACATCGATTCTGACAGTACCTGGCGAGGAGAGATTGTGTTTCCGCGTGTCATTGCAAGGTCTTTAGAAAGATGATGCAAACAGCAATGGCTAATCTCCTCGGTCGACTTGCTATACCCTTCAAAGAGCTGTCGGCATCTAGCGTCCATATCAGCTGGCAACCATAACTAAAAATCTTTGTCCATGGCCACTTTCTCAAGAAACGTCTTCTCGGGTTACGCTTGGAATTCCATAAAAGCCAATCTTGTAAATTTAAAGAGAAAAACAATCAAAAGCATTAGGTTCCAACATGCTTTTCCACACTTCTCTTGCTATTTTGCACTCAGGAAGGATATGTAAGATACTCTCCTCATACTGGCACTCAAAAGGACAATAACTGTTCATGGACAATCTTCTTTTAGTTCTAAGTGAATTTGTGACTTATCTTTTATGGTTGACTTGTCACATGAACATCTTTACTTTTTCAGGCACTTTTCACTTCTAGATTTGGTTCTAAATACTAATAGAATGATGGTTATCTGGTTAAGTTAGGAACTTATAGGCAACTTTGACCGAAAAGTAACTATTTGATGATGGTCTCCAAATCCAAGTATCATCTCGCCCATTAGTAGATGTCTTGATTTTTTTTTTAACAAGTCAACTACTTGTGATGGGAAAAAACTGTTCCATGCAGCTAAATTCCACCCTCCATTCGCCAAGACAAAATCCTTAACCATATTTTGGTGATTAATCAGATCTATGTTCCTCTCAGCAAGAAGAATAACAGATTGGTCAAAGGAGGTCCATTTGTCCCACCAAAATCTAGTAGTATTTCCATTATTCACCTTTTCCCCGAACCACTGGTAAATTTTTCTTGTGATAGCCCTCTAAACTAAAGAAGAATTCCTCTTTCTCACAATAGAAGGTGTAGCATTTTCTCCACATCAGTATTTCATTTTTAAACATTTGACCCACAAGGCATTTTCTCCACATTGGATATATTTTTTTAAAAGTCATTTTAGTAAATTAAAATTTATTTGAATTATGATAATGAAATATATTTTTAAATGTACATTTACCAAAAAAATATTGATTTTTAATTATTTATAATTTTTATTATACAAATGTAATATATTTAAAATGTTTAAAAAATATGATAAAAATTTTAAATAACATAAATTTTGATATGTTTAATAATAAGAATATAAAATATAAAATTTGATGTATTAAAAAAAATATATAACAAATAGTTCAATATATATTAATATTTAAAATTCACATGATTCAAAAAAATATATATGGTAAATTTTTTATTAAAAAAATTTAATCAACTAGACAAATCTTTTTTATTAATAAAAATTATAAATAAGATAAAATTTGATATATTGGACAAAAATTATATGAGTAGTTGAATATACATCAATGTTAAAAATCAATATGATTAATTATTAAATTTATAATGCTAAAAATTTATTCTCCAATAATTATTAGTACTTAAAGAGAAAAACAAACTTTTAATCCTAATAGTTTCAGTTCTTTGTCAATTTGATCCTTAGGATTTTAGGGTCCGTTGGGTTTTTCAACTTTTAATATTTGAAAAGGACTTTCATAAATATTGGGAAGTCAAAGTTGTTTGGTGTTTTGATTTTTTTTTTTCAAAGCACATTTCAAAAGTCGATTTAAAAAGCTTTTAAAAATCCATTTTCTCAACGTAAATGGGAGTAGCTTTTGTATTTGAAGAAGTCAATTAGAACTTACAGTATTTTAAATAATTTTTTCTATACCATGATGCCCTCCTCTCTCTAGGTACCATAAAAGCCTCTCCATTCAGAATAATTTACTTACCATGTTACTTATACTATTTTTATTATATATATTATTCAACAAAAAAATTATATTATTTATGCATCCTTTTATTTTATAAATTATTTAACCTATCAAATTTTATATTATTTAGAATTTTTATCATGCATTTTTAAATATTTTTATTAATTTGCATCTATATAACAAAAATTATAAATTATTATAAATAAATATTTTTTTATAATTATATATTCAAAAGCATATATCACTATATATAATTTAAATAATTTTTAATTTATCAAATTGACTTTTAAAAATATATATCTAAATATAAATTTTATTATAATAATTAATTTTTATTAAATTAACTTTTGTCAAATTAATTTTTAACAAACTAACTTTTCGGCTGACAAAAAACCATAGACGCACTTGATTTTTTCATTCACTCCTTATAATTACAATAATTAAAAGCATTAGTCCTTAAACCGTCAATTCCCCCCAGATGACATGACACTGCTAAAATTTAGATTACGTGTTTTAACAGAGGCCAGGTCAGTAGACACTTGCATTAAAAATTTGCTGCCTAATCCTTTTTTTTTTTTTTTGAAAAAAAAAGAAAAAAACCAGCATCGGAAAACGTAGTTAGATCTCTTCTACATCCTGGAGCATGCGTTTCTCTTCGTCTCTCTTTAGCCTTCGCTAGCAATCATCTCCTTCTTGAAATATGATTTCCGTATCTCTTTGGCTGCAATCTCCCTTTGTCTCTTCGCCGATCCACGCACAACAACAAAAGGTATTTGTTTATTTTTCTTCTCTCTTTGGCAATCTTTCATCTGCAAAGCATGAAAGATTGGGACCTTGAAGCAGTGGCTATATTGGAGTCAAGGCCGAGAATCAAAAATTGCCATTGCTCAGTGGTCGATAGGGGTTAAAGATGGTAGGTGAATGGTGGATGACGGTGCCGACTATGAATTTGTCCATGGACTTCAGCGACAATACAGAACGAGTGAAATTCCATGGTTCCTCCCATTTTAACTTGATTTCGTGTTGGGCTAATCTCATTAAGACTTTTGATTTTTTTTCTTCATCTATTGTAATTTGATCACTATTTTAATAGGAAGAAGAATCAAAACTTTTCTAATGGCTTGTGATTTCTTGTTGATGGTAGATCCCCATTGCTGGAAATAGTTTTCTAGGAGTATAATTGGACTTGACTTTGCTGGATTTATCATTTAAGTTTAAGATGCTGCAACGATTATTGGATGGCTTAATGTGATATTAGCTTTGTTAATTTGGGTTGTAAAACTTAAATATCATGATTTAAGTTTAAGATGCTACAACAATATTTTTTAAAGTCTCAATTTTGGCCGATATTTTGGACTTTTTAAAGTCTTTGGGAGTTTTAGGCGCGTTAAGGCATGAATTTTGATGGAGATTGAGCTTAGATTTAAAAATTGAAAGAAATTTTAGCTTCATATCTTCATTGTTCTTCTCCATTCCTCTTCCTTTCCTTTGGTTCAATGTTTATGTTGATATATTTGTATTTTTTCATAATTTTTATGAACATTAGTAGTTAAACTCTTGATTTTAGATTATTTTAAATCCTTTGTATGGATTAAATACTCATTTTTTCTTTGTATTTGTGATTAATGATGTGGTTATGTTGATTTTACTTTATACTTAATGCTTCTAGTTAATTGACTATCAATTAAATTGTTCGGTTCATTTGATTGATACTTGAGAGAGTTAAATTGTATGACAACTTGAAATTTACAAGTTGAATGGATGATTTTGTTAATGAAATAGAGATACACTCATCAATCTTACATAGTCACATAAAATTTGAAAGGAAAATTGAAGTTTAATTAGTTAATCAAGATATTAAGAGATTAATTAAACTAAATACCTATTTGGAGATTTGAGAGAGCACTTGTGAGTTATTTAGTATTTTTGATTAGCATAATTCATCATTAAGAATAAATTATATTGGGAGTTGATTGAATATTCTTGAAGCATAAAGGAGGATAAATAATCCTAGGCTTAATTACTTTCAAAAAGTTTTGAATCATTCTCTTTTCTTTTATTTTCTAGTGTTAATTTAGTTTGTAAAATTAACTTTATCTAATTATGTTTTGCTCAACTTAATTAAATTTATAATATCTTTTATTGGACCATGTTTTTAAACAAATTTCTATGTGAATGATGTTCTACTTGCTCTGTATTACTTATTATGACCCATATACTTGTAGAGCACAACAATGATTAGATCATGTGAAATGTGATTTACCCAAAGACACCTTACATCTAAATCACTCTAAGAAGCACTTTTTAGAAGTATATTTTCCCACCCATTTGATACCCAAATAACTTTTTTCATTTTAGAAGTTAAGAATGTAAAATGTTATTTACCCAACTACACCCGAAAATTTAGGAATCCCTTGCATCAGATGTTCTTAGTCCAAGTGTTCTTCGTCTGCGGATTACGTTCAGGTTGAGGAATTAACGGTCAACGCAAAGGTATGATATAACAAGGTAAAAGAAAGCACGATATAAGAAACATAAAATTATTGGCTTGGATTTGACTGAGGACCTACACTATCACTACCATTACCATTATCCAGTAACCAATCGATTTCAACATATATATATATATATATATATATATATATGCTAAAAGTTTTTTTTTTTGCCAGTAGCTAAAAGGTGAAATACACATTGTGAGATGAATTGGTTCTAACAAGGCCTTGGATTGAATGTTTTATAAAGAGTTAGAAGAGCCTGGAAACTGTAAACGCAACTCGTTCTGATCTAGTTATGTTAGGTTATATTTGTTTTAATATGTCTCAGTATTGGAGGTTATTTTTAAAGGAGAATTACAATCAGATCTTACATAAAAAAATTAATTATTATAAATTCTATTGATAACTGAATTAAATTGTATTAACAAATTCAGTTATTAATGAATCTTGTAGTAATTAATTTTCTTGTATGAAATTTTAATATAATTCTTTCAATTTTTTTTTTCTTATACGTTTGCATAACATTTGTTACTTTATAGCCAATTCGAAGACATCCTGTTTGATTGGAGCTATGTTATGATTTATTTGAATTACGACGGGGAGCAAGTTGTAATATTCATTTTTTTTTTATTTGGTCACGCGCTTCGGTTTAAGAATCAAAACAAAGTGTATGTTTTGTAACAAGAAAAATTATATAATTTACTAAATTACATTTATAAATAATCAAATGAAATAATGCCGATTAACTGGACTAGGTTATTAAAAACTCAGTAATTTTGACAAATAATATCCAAATAATGTCAAGGTTTTTTTTTTTAAAAATACTTTTGAAATAAATGTGTCCATACCTAAAATATGGTTTGTTTCCAAACACACAAGGTTATGGAACTTTATATTTGGCCAAAATCTGCCGGAGTTTTTTTTTTCTTTGTTTTTCGTTTTTTTACTGAAAGGCAATATAGCTTTTTCATTATTTAATACAACAATTAAGGGAAACATATTCTCTTTTTCTTGCATAAAAATAGACATCTAAACTATTTATTATAAATTTCTATTGTTATTAAACAAGAAGCAATAGTTGCTCATATCTACTACTTTTCATATCAATATCAAAAGATGGGCCATGCATTACCCTTACCACATAGACATGCACTTTCACGGTGGTGCCTCATAGTCACAGCGCCAGGCCCCAGCATAGACGCATCGTTTATTTAAAAACTATCTAACCACGTACTTTTCGTGCTTTGTTAGGAGGTTGACGGGCAGAAGCTTTTGTAATTCCAGTCATAGTTTGAGATTGTCTTCTTTCTTGAGCCTCTCATGGTCTTCTGTTATATTTGATTTTCATTTTGGTTTTTGCCCAGAAAACATCGAGTGGCATGAACATGATTTCATCATCCTCAATTTAGTGTCTTCGTTTAATTGGAAAAAGATTAGCCAAATAAGAATTAAGATAAAATATATTCCAAATTCATCTAATCGTGTGCTTCAGTTACATTGATTATTCTTCCACTTGAACTCTTTCATAAGCAACTTTGTGTGATTGAACATTAAAGCTTGCTTGTAAGTATTTACGTATTTAATTAACTATCGTATCTCAAGAAACATTTTTTATGATACAAGTAGGGTGAATATAATTGAAAGCACAAGTGAAAACGCAGCAAATAACTCAGCCAACTCGATCGCATCAAGTTTAGTCAAACCAATTCCCCCCCCCCCCCAAATGTCAGGCTAATCATAGCGATTAGATCTTTCTTGATCTGATTTATGGTTAAGAACAAATGATAAAAATTCACATGAAAAGTTTGTTACATTTGAGGACCAAGAAATAATTTTCCCATTGACTTCCGCCAAATTAAACTGAAGCATAACTCTTTGACCCCAAAAGGGGGGAAAGGAAAAAAAAAGCTAAAGCAAAACTGAACCTATGAACACTACCGATTGGAAGCCAAAGTAAAAATGTGAAAGGTGTAGCCACAAATCACTTTTAAAGCATTAAGATTCCTTCCTATTCTATAGCATTCGTATTTTCTGAGATACAGTATTTTGAGCTAAAGAATCACAACATGACACTCAGAAGTCAGAACTACATGTGTAATTCTACCTCCAACCACAGATGTAGTGGCTAGGAACAATAGCTCTCAAGAGACATCCATTGACCCAAAAAAAAAAATCCCACACCTGATTCACGACTTCCATGTCCGGGTCTGCTGAGCTCAAAAAAAGGGGGGGTGGTGGAGGAGCTGAAACTTTCGGTTTATTGATATTCAATATATGAAATCAATACATCTCCTCCGTATAAGTTTGGAACAAGGAGTCTGGAATAGACATCTGAACCTTCGAAGATAGGAACTTTAACTTTTGGCCACAACTTCATGACCCTGATGTGTAAGTGTGTCGTGTTTGAGCTCCAATCATAAGTTCAACGACTTTTTCTGAGAGCATATAAAGAACCAAAGGATCAGATGCTTGCACTTTGCAGGAGTATTAGGAGTTTGATGATGTTAAGACATCTTGAAACAGAAAGAGGGGAATCAAGGAGAAAAACGAAAAACCATCAAGCATACCTGTAAGAAATCCGATAATGGGTATTGGTTCCAGGATTTTCTCAGTGCTCTCCAGTTTTCGCCTGAGATAAGGAAAGTAAGAAAATTGCAAAATATTTTAAACCGAAGACATGAGAAAAGAAAATGTGAAATCAATTCTACCTGGTATACTTGCTGAAGAATGGATCTCTCATCAGGTAAAGAGCAAACAACAGCTTACGTCTTCTAGCCTGAAGTATAGCTATCCCAGCATCAATGATTTTTTATATCTTAACCGATATTACTGGCATGTAAGACACTTATAATGAACTTAAAGACTCATGCAAAGGAGTGAAGACTGAAGAATGATATGCCCAATGCACCGTACATGTCAACTTCACATATCTATAAAGAAACTCTAACCTCATCCTTCTCAGAGGCTGAAAGATGAAACGCATGGTCCTTCCCTCCAACCACGGATGTAGTGACTAGTGAAAGGATAATCGTCCCTATGCAGTCAATAGCTAATGACATGAACCAAGGGGTCCATGATCGAATACCATACTTCCGAACACATAGAACATAAATAAGAGGTCTAGTGATAAATAAAACTTCTCCGACTAGAAACATAACCCCCCGAAGACCCTTCTTGGACATTACAGTTAGAAGGGTAGGTCTCTCTACAACTGAACATGTAAAAGAAACAGTGGCAAGTATGAGCTCATTCAGTAGCGAATGATAATCAATTAAAGTATTGCTAGAAGTAACTAAGACAGATTACCTGGAGGCTTCATAATTTCATGCTGGTGTTTAACATGATGCAGCGATGCTGGATCTGACAACACCCTAGCATTTTCTCCAAATCTACTTAAAGCAGAGAGTGCTTTTCCTTCAATATTCCATGGGCTTTGAATAAGATTGTTATTCATGTAACCAGACCCTACATGCCCTCTAGGTTGCGGCAAACGGCCTACTTGATGTTGAGAAGTCAAATAATCTGAATTCTTCTCATCATTAGGCGTCTCCCCTCCCTGTAGCAGCATCTTATATCCACTCTTCCGAAACAAAGTTAACCGGACCAGCACTCTGAGTTGGATTGATGCAAGGTAAGAACATGGATCAATGGTTAACTAGCTATGCCAGGCTATGGATAATGTGAAAGCACATGTACTATAATACACTATGTGCTTACTTGGTTGCTTCTGTAAAAGCAAGGAAATTCCATTTCTTATCGTCACCATAGTATTGTTGTGCCACAACTTCAACTAGTGTTTCCAAATCCTTTATTGCAGATAAGCATAAAGGATAAGGAAATGAATTAGGCTCAACTGAGCCTGTAATAGTTTGGGTACGTTCTGTATCAATTATGTGTTCGTTTATAGCTGTGATGATTCCCAAAATGGTTGTTACTGCATATAGTTAAAGATTCGACAGTAAGTTACTACAGCATATGCAACAAGAAGAAGAAGATGCCTTATCCCATTAGGTGGGGTAATTTATATGGATTACATGATGTCATTGTCCTCTATCATCGATTAAGTTTTTAGGAATATTATTAACTAAAAGGTCTCGTTACAACTAAACATGATAGAAACAAAGCAGGCAAAATAACAACAACAACAACAACAATAAAGAAAATAAAGAGCAAATCAGAAACCTTTCAAATTCAAAGAAAACGAATGTAGCTACATAAAATTAATGTGACTCCAAGAATTTTCAGAATCCACAAGACATGAATATATATATATATATATGCTATAGGAGATAGAAGCTTCTACTTTTTGCCTAAACTTATTTGTTTCAAATATGCCGTCTGCAGAGCATTTACGTCCTTGAAGTGAGAGAGAAAGAATCACATATAATCAGACACTCAAAAGTAGCCAAATGTTACCAAAATTTCACAAAACCTGCTTCTGGTCCAATCTCTGAATCCGAGAACCGTTCCGGAAGAAGCCACGTCATCCCCTGACCACAATAAAGAAACGATACTCTTTCAACACAATATCCTTGTTTGAATTGTACCCCGTAGCTAAGCCCAAATACTGCTCAAATATATCGAATGGATAACAGCATGTACGTTTTGTACATTTAGAAAGTGAATAGACTTGAAACTTCCAAAAACAAGAGCATCAAAACATAGAGCAGTTTAAAGTAAATTATCAACCATAGAATCCCTTCCTCTCCCTTTCCCAACCCAAAGAATAAATAATGAAGAAGAGCCATAAACCTGTAGTCTAACAACCGCAAGTTATAGCATCAAACCTCATATCATATCAATCTCACCCATTTTGAGCCAATTTCATTGCATGATTACCTCAGAAAGTTACATTAATGGATGAATTTGTAAGGGCGGCATGATGAAAAGACAAATTTGTAACCAAATGATAGCTTACATTGGCCAAAGACTCCAAAGAGTGCACAAACTCTTTGTTTTGCCTGACCCATCTTTTGTAAGCCTCCATAGCTTCAGTGATTCGCCTTCGTCAAGCACCTACTCCTACAAAAACCCTAACTTCATATCCAATGTTTGAGCTGTGCCTATTGCAGACGACCCCAGATGGGAGGAACGCAAATTTGGAGACAAATTGCGTAATTTACAATATGACAGTGGAAACTGGAAAGTGGAAAGCAAGATCAGTGGAGTGATGAGGTGTGGCCATTGTCGTTTCGTAAATGACGGATCTGATCCCGATCGTCGGTTACTTTACCTCAAGCTAGACCAGTTTAACTGTTTAAGCAGCGGATTGACGGGAGTGCCGGGGTGGGACCTCTGGATGTAATTTTAGTTTTACAGCGTGTTTACCGTTTACGATTACATTAGACAATGAAATATGTCTGGTCTGGTTAATGCAGACCCAAGTTTACACAAGGGATGCTCAGGAACCCGAATGATCGCAATAACTGGAGCGGGGAAACGGTAGGAAAACCCGGCCCGTAATCGTCCAGAAAACCCGGATTGGCCCGGTCCTTCAGTTATTATTTTATTTTAGAATAAAGTGCTACCATCGCCTCTGCGTTGCGATTTAACCCCTCCTCGCCCTTTGCATAGCCTCTCTGGCTCTCGAACTGTGAAGCTTGACTCCTCGTGCCCGGTGCAAGCTCCAAACCGACGTCTTGAAGATCGCCGTCGTTCATCGCCGGTGTAAGCATCCGTCGTTTCCTTTCGGCTATTTGATGGAGTGGTTTTGTTTAATATTAAACCCAGCTTTCAGTTTCTTAACTAGTGAAATGTATCGGCTATCAACTCTGGTTCGGATTGGCTTTATTTATTGTAAATTAGGGAAAGAGAGGGATTCTTAACTAGTGACGATATTTATTTATTGTTTATCACGGTGACATATTTTTAAAGGTCAAGAATTTGGTACTTTCTTAGATTACTTATTTTTTAAAGAAAGGGATAGCATATCCCTGTGGTTATTTTTTAAAAAAGAAATAAAGAAAGAAAGATGCATATTATTCGGGTTTCTTTTAAGGGAAAATGAACGCCGATGTAGCGCATAGGAATAAAATTTGAAGCTGTTTTGTTTTTTCCCAGTCTCTCTTCTAGTTAGATTGTCTCTCTCCAGTGTTTTGGGCTTCTGAGAAAGCAATATAATGCAGCTGACATTAGAATTCGGGTATGTTTACGTTATCCTTCTAAATTCTCAATCAATTTCTTTGATCGTCATGGTTTCTCGCTGTAGTTGTTTGTTCGTTTGTAAAAACTGTGAATACTGTTTGGTTGATTTCCTCTTACCGTAGAATCTAAAGTCCTCATGAACCAGTTTGTTCCCCTTATGTTGTCTTCTTCTCTTGCTGCGTTTGAATTGTTATGAACTGTTAAGGCTATTTGGTAAGAAATTATGGGTAATTTGTTGTAGTTAAACATTTTTAGAAGTTCATCCTGAAGTTTTGTGAACAATTACGAACTCACAAGAAACCCTCAAACTGTACAAAACCCTCTTTATAATCCAACCATGAATACAACCAATTATACAGGATGAAGTCTACCGTGTTTGAATTTTCTTTTGGAATCTGAAGAATTCTCTTCTCCTATTTCATACAAACGCTGTGTTGAACAGCATTCTCTTTTGGAAGTTAGTTTCTTGGTTGGTGTATGGTTGGGAGCTTTATTGTAATTGGCATATCCCTTCAAGGTTCGGAGCTTTTTCTTGGGAAGCCAGAAGAATAAATTGCCACCAGTATCGAGTCACATAAACAATTTTGTAGGATGTTTGAGTTCATGAAACACAGAACAAGCTGAATACTGAAAGGAACTCCGGAAATATGCTATTCTAGTTTATCTTGATGTCCAATATTAGCATTTGGAAATTTGTAATGGAAAGCTCTGAACTCTGAAGTGAGGTTCTATCAGGCATCTCTATTGGTCCCTAATTGATGCTCAAGATATTGGCAGTTGTGTTGTTTTCAATTTTCTTGCCGCAAGTTGTTCTGAATTTTCTAATGTTACACTTGTGGCTTCTGGTTAGAACTGAGAACCCTATAATCTTGTATGGCTTTATAAGTGCTTGTTATAACGGCTGGAATGTTGATGGTTCAACGCAGTGGGGGATTGGAGCTTCTTTGTGAGTCCAAGAAAATTCATAATGTCAATCTTGAGCCACAAAATGGATCGGATAAGGTAGTCTATGACTTAAAAATTTATTGAATTTGATCATTCTTTTGTTATGCCTAACAATCTCGCAATATTTTCATCTTGCTTCTCAGTTAATTATGAAAGATTTGCTTTCTTGGGTGCGGACAAACTTGATCAGGGAGAGGCCTGAAATGTTCATGAAGGGGGACACTGTGTAAGTTGTGTTGTTGATCTTTTCAACTTAAGCTTGAATATGAGAGGCAAATACTACTTCTGGATTTTGTAATGGCTATTATAAGTCAGGTTTTTCAACAACTAAAAGTTACTCTGTGGGATGATGGATAACTAGGTAAGGGACATGGGATTGAGGCTTAAGCTGAAAGTAGAATGCAGGAAGAGTCATCTCATCATAATGTGCACTAGTTGTTTGGTTTCTCATGGTTTGTGTTGCAGGAGACCTGGGGTTCTAGTCCTTGTGAATGATTGTGATTGGGAGCTGAGTGGCCAACTGAACACATCATTAGAAGAGAAGGATGTGGTGGTTTTTATTTCAACGTTGCATGGTGGTTAGTTTGTAGTTGGAACAAATATGACTTGTAGATTGATTATGAGTGCTCTATTACATTGAAGAATCAATGTTGACAATGTGCGCTATGGCTGGTATTAAAATTATGTATCATTCATGGCTGTTGTACAAGGCTCGGCTTGGCTTGACAAGTCAGAGGGGATTGGCTTTAGTTTGTTGATCAGATGGATTATGAAAAGCTGATAAATTGTTGTATTTGTTCCAAAACATATTTCCAATTACACTCTTATTAGTCCAAGGGAACTTCAACATGCTCGCCCAGATAGAAGGCGTCATGGAGACTAAAGAAAGGAAATTAAAGGACGATAGACGAAGTATGGCTCTTGAGTCTTGATAAAATTTCCAAGTAACTAACAACAAAGGGCGACTGCCTTATTGGGTAATTATGTGGTGATTACTATGGTTTGATAACCTCAAGTAAGCCCTGTGCACTTGTATGTCTCAAAAAGACATAAATCAAAAATGTGGAAACCGGCACCACTCCATTGCGAAACAGGTCCGTTCCGATCAACGGTTGTGCGAACATAGATACTCGGAAAAGCAATGCATCTCTTGGATTCCGTCACCACGGGATATGCAGATTGCGTCATACTTTGGAGGGACGTTAGTGTCATTTTACTATTTTTTTTATATTTCCTTTTTCTTTGGTGATTACCTTTATCGTTTTTCATCTATAATTCAATACTAAGCATGCATTGGATGAGGAAATTTTCATTATCAAAAAAAGCTTTGTTCTCATTTCCTTCCTCATTCTTGTGTTAGCGTCGCTGATTTTAAAAAAAAAAAAAAGGCGTCTTAAACTAAAAATAATTTCTTCTAGTGGCATTACCGATTCATCTAGATTAAAAAAAAGTTATTTTCTTTCCAAAAAATACTGCCATGCATGTTTTGTTTTGGGGCTGTATGTCAGCAAATGGCAATCACGTCTGACAACGTTAGGAGCCCCAAGCGTGTCGTTGGATTGGGCTTACGAAGCTTGATTTGATGGATGCCATAAAAAAATAAAAACAATATCAAAATTAAAACATCTTGTTGAGATTGGTTTTGAACCCACGCCGTTTCGGACCAGATCCTTAATCTGGCACCTTAGACCAATTCGGCCATCTCAACAATGGTGAGACAGCAGTTTTACGTATATATTATTAGGAATAAGCACCCAACAAATATCCCCAACACATATCTACTACTACTAATAATAACAATAGACATATAAATTTTTTACATACTATTTATTCTATAATAAATTATTATTATTATTAATATTATTAACATATTAAAATTCATTTGTCATGATTTAATTGGATATAAATATATTAAGTATATACTAAGTCTTACCCTTCTAAATAAATAAACTTGTTAACCAATTAATCTAATAATTGAATTGATCTTGTATCAATTTTGATTCACCATCAATATGACCTGTTTTGAATTGACATACTGTATGTTGCTAAGTAGCTCATCTTTTTAAAAAGGAATGAGCCTTCACATTCTAATTTTGTAATATAAAATATGAAGTCTGTAGTTCAGTCCTAGTTGACACATGTAGTTCAGTCCCGATCGAAGCTAGCAACCTTGGTCCTAGTTGGCAATAGCAATTTGATCCTAATCAAAGTCAACGGTTTGGTCTTGATATGAGTCAGCAGTTTGGTTTTAAACAACATACAAGAGGGGTCTCGATCGCTAAATACTGTCGGTGCTGTTAGTGGAGATCCAATCACATTCAACTTTAGTAGTTTGTTCTTGATCAACTATGATAGTTCAATCATGGATGGTAAGCGGCAGATCGACACTGGGTGGTCACGAAGGGTATTTGAAAGTGAGTTGAAATTTAAAATTTTTAGTTTATAGAAAAAATTTGAAATTATAAAGAAATTATATTTAAGTATAGATTTGGATTTGGACCAAACCTAAATCTATAAATTCTCATAGATCCAAATAATGAATTTGGTTCAAATTCAAATTCATTCAAACATAATATTACTTTATTATTGAAAAGTTCTAACCTCACTTAGAAATAGGTCAATAGTTTTATAGTTATAAGTCAATTTTTAAATGAGGTTAGAACTTTTCAATTGAGAAATTATAAACACTCATATTCATACTAATTTTAAGCATTCTCAATAATCAGATTTTTAGTTACCAAAAATTTAATACAAATATAAAATAAGAAAAATTAATTATTTGGTCTAATTTGACCAAATTATAACTTAATATCTAAACTTTAACTCATTATAATTTGATTCTTATAGTTTTAATTTAGTTGCAACTTAATACTTAAACTTTAATTCTTACAACTCAACTTCTATATTTTTAACTATTTAAATATTGATCCCTATATTTTAAAATATAAAATTATAACGATTAAAATCATTTTAAAATGTAGAACTAATATTTTAAATCACTAAACCCTTTTTATCTTTATGAAGATTATAAAGGTTAAAACTATAAATAGTTTTCACCTTTTACAATTTTATTTTTTAAAATATAAGGATCAATATTTAAATGATTAAACATATAAAAATTGAGTTACAAGAGTCAAAGTTTACAAAATTAAATTAAAATTGAGTTAAAACTATAAAGACCGAATCACAATGAATTAAAATTTAAAAGATTGAATTAATTAAAAATCTAAAGATTAAATGATTAATATTTTATAAAATAATTCAATTCTCAGCCAAGGTTTTTAAATATTAGAGGTTAAGAAATTTCACAACCATCTTAGGTGCTGACAGGTTTTTGGGCGGCCAGCGGGTGGCTCTTAACTCTCAAGCTATTTTTGGTAAAGGGAATTTTTTTTAGTTCAGTTAAGGATTACAATTTTTTTATTAAAATTTCAATAATTTGATGAATCTAATTATAATAAATGCTTTTACAAGGTCTTTAACTATCATTCTCCCAAGTGAAAATCAATGGCTCATGGAAATTCCCAATAAAAGCATAACACAACATAGATTACAACAACAACAACAACAACAACAAGCCTTTATCCCACTAGGTGGGGTCGGCTACCTGGATTGCAAGACGCCATTGTGCTCTATCATTTATTAAGCTTTTAGAAATATTATTAATTAAGAGATCACGTTCAACAACTTCCAAGAGTGTTCTCTTAGGCCTTCCTCTACCTCTCTTAATCGGACTCAAAGTTATATGTTCCACTCTTCTCACCGGTGCCTCCCTTGGTCTTCTTTGTACATGCCCAAACCATCTCAACCGATTTTCTACCATTTTTTCCTCAATAGGTGCCACCCTCACTTTTTCACGTATGTGCTCATTTCGAATTTTATCTTTACGTGTATGTCCGCACATCCATCGTAACATTCTCATCTCTGCTACTCCAACTTTATGCTCTTGCTGTCCCGTTAGAGCCCAACATTCACTACTATATAACATTGCCGGTCTGATAGCAGTACGATAAAACTTTCCTTTAAGTTTATTAGGCACCTTACGGTCACAAATAACTCCTTTAGCTTTTCTCCAATTAAACCACCCAGCTTGAATTCTATGTGAAATATCTCCACTGATTTCGCCATCATTTTGGATAATGGCTCCCAAATATCTAAACTTTTCCACTTGAGGTATAATTTGATCTCCCAATTTCACTTCCAAATTATTTTCGAATAGTCCTTTATCAAATTTACAATATAAATATTCCGTCTTACTTCTACTCAGACGAAAACCTTTCGACTCCAATGTCCTCCTCCATAACTCAAGTTTGCAATTAACCTCTTCTCTTGTCTCTGCTATAAGAACTATATCATCCGCGAAGAGCATACATTTCGGGATTTCCTCTTGAATATGTTCCGTCAAAACATTTAAAATCAAGTTGAACAAATAAGGACTCAGAGATGATCCCTGATGTAGCCCAATCTTTATAGGAAAATCCTTTGTTTGACCACTAGGCGTTCTTATACTAGTTTTTACCCCCTCATACATATCTTGTATGGCTTTAATATAAGCAATCCGTACTCCCTTTTTTTCCAACGCTTTCCAAAGCACTTCTCTTGGTATACGGTCATAAGCTTTTTCCAAATCAATAAAAACCATGTGTAGATCTTTATTTTTACAACGATACTTTTCCATTAATCCCCTTAGTAGATAAATCGCCTCTGTAGTTGATCTACCTGGCATAAAACCAAATTGATTCTCAGAAATACTTGTCTCCAATCTCAACCTGTGCTCAATTACTTTCTCCCACAATTTCATTGTGTGGCTCATGAGTTTAATCCCTCTATAGTTAGTACAATTCTGAATATCTCCTTTATTTTTATAAATAGGAATTAATGTACTTCTCCTCCACTCATCAGGCATTTTCTTGGACCGTAAAATCACATTAAATAACTTAGTTAACCATCTCACCCCTTCTTCACCTAAACATTTCCACGCTTCGATAGATATACAATCAGGTCCGTTAGCTCTACCATTTGCCATTTTCTTAAGAGCTTCCTTTACCTCCTTATCACGTATTTTTCGATAGAATGACAAATTTTGTTCTCCTTCACCAGTTACTAAATCCTCCAAGTTACTAGATGAATCCTCTCCATTATTGAAAAGTTTAGAAAAATAAGTCTCCCATCTATTTTTAATTTCATCATCTGTAACTAAAATTCTTCCCTCTTCATCCTTAATACACCTTACCTGTTCTAGATCTCTTGATTTTCTTTCCCTACTCTTGGCAATCTTATAAATATTTTGCTCTCCTTCCTTCGTCTCAAGGTTCTTATAAAATTCTTCAAAAGCTTTAGAACGAGCTTCACCCACAGCTCTCTTAGTTTCCTTCTTAGCCATACGGTACCTCTCCCAATTTTCCTCATTGTTACACAAATGTATGGCTTTAAAACAGTTCTTCTTATACTTGATTTTGTCCTGTACACTATTATTCCACCACCAAGACTCCTTATCTCTCGGACCAGGACCTTTCGATTCTCCCAAAACTACTTTTGCAACCTCCCGTATCTTTTTAGCCATATCTTCCCATATGATGTTAGCACTTCCCTGAGAATCCCAAATTCCTTTATCCAAAAGATTTCGCTTGAAAATATCTTGCTTCTCACCTTTTAATTGCCACCACCTAATCCTTGGTGTTACTACTTGTCGACGTTTTTGGATTTTACTCATAATACACACATCAAGGACTAGGACCCTATGTTGTGTCGTTACAGCATCTCCAGGGATCACCTTACAATTTTTACAAAGTTTTCTATCTGTGTTCCTAACCAAAAGAAAATCAATCTGCGACCTTGAGGCTCCACTTTTGTAGGTGATGAGATGCTCATCTCTCTTCTTGAAACAAGTGTTGGCAATCTTAAAATCATACGCCAATGAGAAATCAAGAAGAGTTTGCCCTTCATTGTTTAGCTCTCCAAAACCAAAACCACCATGCACCCTCGCATACTGACCAGCTTCCCTCCCGACATGCCCATTAAAGTCTCCTCCAATAAAAATCTTTTCACTCTGTGGTATGTGTCGAATCAACCCCTCCAGATCCTCCCAAAATAATTCCTTAAGACTGGCTTCTATCCCGACTTGCGGCGCATAAGCGCTAACAATATTAACAGTCTCACGTCCAATTATCATTTTTAAAGAAATAATTCTGTCTCCAATTCTGCTAACTTCTACAACGTTCTTCTTCCACTCCTTATCTATAATGATGCCTACTCCATTGCGTGCACTTACTTTTCCTGTATACCAAAGTTTGAAACCTTGAATATCCTTAGCTTCTTCTCCACGCCATTTTGTTTCTTGCAAGCAAAGGATATTGATTTTCCTTTGAATCATAACCCCTACAACCTCTACAGATTTACAATTTAATGTCCCAACATTCCAAGTACCAAATCTAATTTTGCTCTTATGGACTAACTTCTTTAGCCGCGTGCGTCCAAAATGACGCGGTAGCCCTTGCTCATTTAACACTACATCCGGGCGCCGATGCAGCGGCTCTAACTCACTTATCACTGTACTCGAGCCATGCAGCGCGTTACTTACGGGCAACGACCTAGCATTAACATTATAACGTCTATTGTCCATGTTCATGATAGATTCAACAAATTTTTACATTGGCTGTTGATGGCCTAACACAACCCTCCTCCTTTACCCGGGCTTGGGACCGGCTATAAACATAGGCGGAGTTATAACACAACATAGATTATCAAAAAATAAAAAAAAATCATAATACAACATATAGAAAACCTCTTTTGAAAAGTAATCATGTAATGATGAACAGTGAAAATCCATCGCACAAGGGTTTATCCTTCCAAGAATTCAAACATTCCCAAGTCACCGAATATATGAAAATCAGAAACTCATGTAGATTCAACTTATAGAAGATAAATAGAACTGTCATCAGACATTGCACTCGATAAATCAGAAACTCTCACGTAGATTCAACTTACAGGAGATAAATAGAACAGAGTCGTGGATTTACCAAGCAAGCATACATTATGCTTATTCATAATAGACTTGGGAGTATCTAAGAATAAATCCTCAATTAGCATATTAAGATGTGTTCTACCATCTTGGAAAAAGCAAGTTATCCCATTCATTGTAATCTGGAAATTACAAGGTCACGAAACTACGAATACTCCCCAAAACAAAAAAACAAATTAGGCTAACCTCAACATTTTCCATTTGGACTTGCTCCTTTTCTTTTTTCTTTTGTGGAGAGGGAACCCGATTTAAAATAAAGAGGCAAAAAAGAGGATTAACCTTACATTGGCAGCCCAATCCAGAATATATGCTTTATCTGATAATAAATTGGAAAAAATGGGAACCAAAAATGGCAATATCGACCAAAGCACAATCAGCTAGCTTTGAGTCTCTCCAGTTCTGCTTCAGCCTCATTTAACTGCTGCCTCAATGTTGATATTCTGCGCTCTAGCCGTTCTACTGGGTCTCCACTTGATGCAGGTTGATATGGTGTCAAGAAATGGGATGAAAATGCTTTCAGAGCTTCAACCCCAGTAACCTATCATATTTGCGATGGCTAAAAAATAAGCAAATAATAATAACTGATAATTTTTTTCTTTTTAAAATCACTTTGGTGCAAGAATGCAGATTTTTATTTTTGGTGTTGAGGCCAATAAATTGGCAACCATGTTAGAAAGAAAACCAGGAACAACTAGATCCAATGGTTCAACGTAAGAATAGGGGAAGATCCCAGCTGGAATTGCCGGAACCATTGATTTTCAATCCCTTCTGGATGAATCACAATTCAAACAAAGATCTGAAGCCGCTAACACCAACGGCAAAGCAGTCATGCCTATAGTGCAAACCAAGCCAAAAAGCCAAAATTTCAGAACCATCAACAAACTCTTCCAATTTAGGAAACCAAAAGATACAATCCAGGGGTGACAGGTGTTGATAGTTCAAGCGATATTAGGTTCAATTGGTGACTGGCAATATACTGGTATAGCAGAGATATACAAATTCATGAGGATCGTTAGGAAAAAGCAATCAACCACAACATATATCCATCTGCAAAATAATTCTGGAGGAAGATGGAAGGCTTGGTGCAAGAAAATGCAAAATCATGCATATACAGATGCCTTTTGCATCATTTGAAGATCCCATATAATATAATAATGTACAGTGTTATAGTAGAAAGGCATGATGTGACTTCAGTATTGTTAAAGTTACAGAACTCTCAGCTTTTCAGATCCTACACAAAAATCTGCACATGTTCCAATCAAAAACTCGTAAAAATTCAAGGGAGGTGCATGCAGCATTTCATGAGTCCGTGCAGGGTTTTTTAACGTTTTACTGGAAGGTCATATATGTTTTCAAAATATTGAGAAGTTGTGCATGAAAATCAGGAAAATGCAGAGGCAGCTGGTTAAAGTTTGTGATACAATATACTATGGAGTATTTTGCTCTATTTTTAAGCGATTATTCATCAATACGTTATGATATGATTTATAGTTTGTGGTTTCAAATGCAATAGCTTACCTCTTCTGGGAGCAATGGCAGCTTGGTAATGTTGAAGTCATCATACAGCATGTAAAACTGGTCTAGGTACTTCTGTTGCATTTTCATTCTTGCTTTAAGTAACTTGGATTCGACATCTGTAAGTATTAGTAGATCAATAAATAACATTGATAAGACAAGGAAAAACAATGTGTGTTGTGTGTGTAATATAAAGGACATGATAGACATGCTACCTTCATCATCATAGAGAACTTGATTGATGATGATATTATGCGTGTCAATCTCAAATTTTGTCAGTTCCTGAACCAATCTCTCTGTTTCATATAGAGAGAGGAACTCCGGAATGCAGACACAGACAAAAGTAGTCATGTCCTGAAAACGAAGGTACCCAAGCACATTTAAGTGACTAAAAGGAAATTGGCATAATTTAACCACCCGAGCATCAGCTAAGGTAACCAAATCATAGCAAGGATTAATGACTGAGTAAACGGTCTTCTAGGATAATTCAATGTAGAAATTATAACATTCAAATTGTTTCTACTGGTTAAAACAAATCCTTCTCAATTTTCAGTTAATTCTGATTGCCATCATACCAACAAATTTAACAGAGTTTCCAGCTTGTGAACACCCCATTTTGTCCAGGCCCCCACAAAAATAAAGGAATAAAATAAAAAATTGAAGAGCTTTTTTTTAATAAAATGATAAAAAACGAAATTAATAAATAAGAATTAAATGAAAAATTCTCAAATTTGTGCCTTAATATGAGTCTTCAATTAGGGAAAGTCAAATGGACCAAAATTGTGCCTTGATTTAAAATAAAATCAAATAAAATTAATCACAAATTGTGATTTGATGGGATTCAACCATTACAGTGGGAAGTCCTAATTTTCTTCTATAAAAGGGTGGTGATCAAGGCAAAAGGGGAGGAGGAAAAAAGAGCAGGCAACAAATAAAGGAGCTTGAGAGAGTTTGTTGAAAAGGTAGAGAATATTTGTTCTCTTGCATCATCTCCACTCATTATAACATGATATTAGGATTGGGTAGGGATGTTCGAGATAAGATAATACCAATTGCTCAATATTCTAATACCCTAAGAAAAGCCAATCCTCTCATTTGAGATTACATGTATAATCTTTAAAAATGTTAAAGACTGAAGGGTGTATGATTATATATTGATTTAGATCATCCTTTTGATTTCCACTTCTCCCTTCTCGAAAATTCTTGTGTGCTGCGCGCATGCGCGCTTTTATGGACGTGATGTGTCTGACGGGTTCATTTCCCCTATCGCTTGTTTTTTTTTTTAAATTTGTTTTGTTCCTCCCCGTCTCAATCTGAATGTGATTTCACAAGGATATCTTTTTTTTTTTTTTTTGGTTTTATGCTCCTGTACGTGCATGCTTCTTTCCCTAGATGTGTGTACATGTGTATGTTGTCCATTCCTCTCTCCTTTCAAATTTAAGTCAACATGGCTTTCTTTGTGTAGGTAGTGTGTGTATGTGTGTGATTTTGTTCTAACAAGCATACATGAGCACATACACACAAGCATATGTGTTGGTTGGTTATTTCTTTTGTTATAAGATAGAGATGATTATTCTAATCATCTAAGTTGCAACAAGTGGTAAAGCCCCAAAGGTTTGATCTCTTATTTGGTTTTTTTTACAAGCCATTTATATTATTATACCATTCTCTAGCACACACTACACCATATGATTTGAGACTTTTGTGTTTGTATTGTATTTTTTTAATTTATATATACCGTGTGAGATTTTTAGAGTTTTCGCAAGTAACTAGTTTATTAGTATGTCATGTGTGGCAATGGGCCATCACAGGCACACTAATCATGATTCTCAATTGATTTGTTTTCTTCTCTTTCTTTAAAACAAAAAAAGAGCCTTTCTTTTTCCATAAGTATAGATAGGTCGAAACATAATTTCTATGCCGTGTGAGATCTTAAAATCTCCGTAGGCATAAAATAAATTAATTTCCATTTGAGATTTTTGTGAATCTTCGTAGGAATTTCAATCTATTTTATTTATAAAAAAAAATCCTTTATCAAATAAGGGAATAATTTTTTTTTCTTTAATTAAAAGATACCAATCTAATTAAAATTTTTTTAAGATGAAAAATTATTTTTCTAAAGAAATATTAACAAACTGACACGTATTTTTACCCTTGAACTTCGTGGGCTTTGATCCCTCTAAAGGATACGTAGGCCCTAGGGTTTTATCCTAGGTCAAATCCAACTTATAAATAAATATTTTTTAATTATAATTTTCTTCTTTTTTCCTTTTTCATTAATTAAGGGTAATTTAAGCTCATATTAATTTTGTTTAGTCAACTTAGGGTAACCGTTCTTACGGACGGGTGATATGAGGTGCCTAACACCTTCCCCATGCACAACTGACTGCTGAACCCTATTCTGATTATTATAGAACATTTTTATTTTTTAAAAGGTTTTCAAAATTATCCTTTTAAAATTTTGATGGCAACTCCTACATTTATTGATCTTCTTTTCTTGGGAGATCATGATACGGGCGCGACACAGCTCATCTTCATTTTATCAATCCACAAAACTATTTGAATCAAGGAGACACAAATCATGAATATTAAAAGAAACTAGTCCATAAATATCCGTCGCAGATATTCTGTTCAGATTCAAAACTTCAGGCTCACAACTGATGATAGGCTACTAAAAATCAATTTAACTTCTAGTTCAAAAAGTCGGCTATAACTTCCATCTAACAATTTAAATGGAGTAAAAACTGTAACAAAACACATACATGACGAAAGTTTCAATCTTAAGGGAAAATCATCAAATAGTTAACATCTGAAGCATAGGATATGGTTTAGAGCATAAAAAGATAAGGCATGTAGAAAGAGATGACAAATTGAGAATATCAATACAATTTAGGAATCTCCACAAAAAAATTCCAACTTAGAAACATCTAGCAGACAAGTGATTAACCCTGTGGGATGATTATATATTTACTTTACTCGAGCCTGCACACCCATATACTCCTTCCATTCCTTTTTATAAATTAAGAAAGTTTGTTAATGTTTGTTAAATGTCTTAATTTTTTTTCAAAAATAATGTTGACATTTCAAAACTGTTCTTCTATCAATATTGGGGAGAGAAAAATATTTGCACAGTGAAATGATGAAGGACTACTGCTGTCCTTCTCGCCATCCTCTGCAACTGACGCTGCTATAGCAACTGTACGAATCTGATTTCTATCCACCTCTGTGACACTCACTCTTTGTTCTGTTCTTTTAGGTTCTATTTGTTCCTCAGTAATTCAAAACTCACGACTAATGGATAATACTTCATTTCTCTATAATTTGCTTTAGAGATAATTGAATAGCCAGTGTCACATTACATCTGAAATTCAAATTGGGATTCTTGTTATGGCTTCAATTTCCTTTTTTTTCCCTCATGCTTTCTGTTGGCCTGCCGACTTTTGATCATTGTCATTTCTGATGTAGTTAAAAACTTGCCCACTAATCATATCATAATCTAATCTTCTAGCATAATAGCCATTCGTTTCTTCAATTCTTTCCATGCCTTTTCTCATGATATTATCAAAACCCAATCTTCTTTGGATTTGAATATTAACTTATGGAATTAATTATTATAGAATTTTATTATTTTTACTTAAAATTTTATATGATAATTATTTTTATATAATAATATAGTAATTTAATTTCAACTAATTCCACCATGGTTTGACCCTAATTCAACCAATGAACCTTGAACCAGTGCCTCAAAAATCCAATGCTTGATCTGGGTTTAATTATCCAGATTTTATAATATCTAAGAACACAAGTTATAATTCAGAGGAAGATGACAATCAATTGACAGCTTCAAAACTAAACGGAAAAGAAATTAAGAAAGCTTCTTGGCTTACTGGATCCTTGAATTGCATGTTAACTCTTTCAATTACATCTTTCATGCCTTCAAGCCTCCCAAGTAATGCATCCTCACCAAAATCATCACCCATGCCAAACATACTTGACATCTGCAATGAGAGTAGAAAACTTTTTCCTATTACATTACACCACAGATAATGAAGCAAACACACATCACCTGATCAATTAAGTTTGAGAGCAAGGAAATAGATTAAACAAAACTGCAAGAAAATTGCACAGGGAAGATATGGTTCTGATTTCCCAAAAATGTATTTAGAAAGATGTGTGATGAATAGTAACACACAATGTAGTTTAGAAGCCATCAAAGTATGCTACTTTAATGCAAACATCATGAAGACACCCATATTTCGGCACACCACAAAGATGTTCTGCGATTCAACTCTAAAATGATTAAACATCACAGATTCATGCAAGCATTCCATCTTGAAAAGCATAATGCACGGATATGTAATATTTTAAGAGTAGGATCAACACACTGCAGAGAACAGCATACATCCTGTCCTGTGACAAAGAAAAACATGCTCAATTGCATTGATCTCATATCCTCTATGAGGAAGATATGTAAAATAAGGATTATGGATTTTTTAAACATTGCAATATAATAATTATTCAAAACAGTGAGCCTCTTTCACTTACAAACTAAGAAAGAAAGTATACCTGATTAAACAAACCACCGAATTTATTTTTCAAAGACATCACTTTTGCAAGACCCTTCTCTAAAATTGATGGAAATTGCAGAAGTCTGAGTGTATGACCAGTTGGAGCAGTATCAAATACTATAATAGAATAATCCATTGTTTGCACCAATCTGTAGAAATTGTCAAATTAAACCAAAAATCAGTTCACATATTTTAGATGAATTTATCAAGAATAAATTCTGCAGATCAAAGACTTGGAATGGAAAAACAACTTCCACATGCCCTCACATCACTATAGAAATGAATAAATTGCAAAACATGCATCCAAATTCAGATTTCGAAATCATCATAAACAGATTTGGTTAGTGTATATGAGCCTAGTCCAGCACTTGTCTAAACCGAAAAACTGATCTTCTCTATTGGTCCAACAGGTCTGAAGACATGTTAAACAGATAGGCAACGTGTCCAAGTAGCATTGAAGTCTCACATGGGTGAAAATATATTCTGGTGCATTATAGGTCACATACCAAACATGGTAATCTTATTTCCAATAGTATTAATTTCCCAGATATACTTTTCTTCAAAAACATTTTAAGATTTCCAAAATTCCTGCATAATGTTTACATCAAACACATTGAATTTTCTTCTCTTCCTTCAGCTGGACATTTGAAGGACTCCTGTTCTCATAAACCCTGAAAGTTGAAATCAGTCTAGTCTGTAATGTTTTAACTGCTAATTTGTTCAAGGTTAAGAGATGAATCTCAAATGAACATCTGGGAGAGTGCCAGAGACCACATTGACAACCCCACAGAACCCACCACCTCTGGACGGCGCAACCTAGTGATCACCATAGAGTAAAGCCACAAAGGTCATAGGCTCTTCAACAGCAGTGACATAATGGAGTCCCACATTGGATAAAGATAAGTTGAAAACAAACATTTGGGTGCGAGAAATTCCTTACATGATTTACTTTCCATTATCACCTTTCTTCTTTTCACCCAAAATTTTACCCAATTTAATATTTTTTATCCAAGAAAGTGAAGTCCAACTAAAGTTATAAACGTAACAGTCCTCAAACTACTTCAAAACATAGGTAAAAAAATATTCAGCAAAATTTCAAGTCACTGTTGAATCACAAGGACATTTTTTTCCCCCCTTACTTCAGCATCTCAGCAAAGCTCATTGCCTCATCAATCCCAGGTATAGCACCAGCTAGTTCTGAAAACATACTATCCATTCCATCGGTACCACTGATATCTTCACGTTCAACAGTAGGATCCACCTCCTGTTAAGCATTATAATATAAATTGAGGACAAATACAGCGCAAACTATGTACATTAAAACAAAAACTGGACCTAGACTACAAACTACTATGAAGATAATTGAAATGTGAAGGACACAGGAAATAGCTCTGCAGAAATAGATGCAACAACCAATGCTAGAAAGTTTTAAAACCTATTTTTTTTTATGTAAACAATTGAAATGAAGTCAACACATATAGATGGTTCCAGATAAATCTTGCACTCATGTAAGCCAATACCAATTCCTCAAAAAGCGTCCTGGCAATATAAAAACTGAAAATGTGTGTGCGCGCGCGCGCGCAGCAAACTGAGATTCTAATACTCATAGAGCATCAACGTTTTCCGTCGCTGTTGACCATAGAGCATGACAATTGAGAACATGATGATGCTCAGATTCTTCATAGAAACATAATTACAAATCTGAAACACAAGCCTCTTCCAAGAGGGAAAACGATAAGGACAACAAAAAAGACAAATGAAAATCCAGGAAATGAAATTTTACCATGGCATAAAGATTTGTAAAGCCATTAACCAAAGTGGGGGTCTTAGTGAAGCGTTGCTGAAAAGCATCACTGAGATTGTGAGCGGGGTCGGTGGAGATGATTAGAACAGAGCTTCGAACCCTGGAGAGAAGGATCGAAAGAATGGAACTGCATGTGGTCTTCCCAACACCGCCTTTGCCCCCAACGAAGACCCACTTCAGAGACTCTTGATCCAATAAGTTCTGCACCGTTCCCTCAGGCAAGTCTTGTTGATCCGCCATGGCCACAGTCTCTTTCTCTCCCCCCCTATCTTTCTCTCTCCTCTGCTTGGATTGTCAATCGACCCGGTGACTCGCGAGTCCAGAATGACGGAGAGAATCAGAAGACCGTTTTCCCTACGATAGCTGGAAATGAATAAACGAGAAAAAAAAAAAAAAAAAGATATCGTGAAATGTTTTGTTAGGTTGAAACTTGAGGCAATTTTGTCAATATTTTATAATTTTAACTATCCGAAGGCCGGGAACCATACCATCCATAATCCATAATTTATATAATTTTTTTATTTTATTTATAAATTATTTTTAATATTTTTATTAGAATAAAAATTTAATTTAATTTACTCTATTTAAAAAATTAATAAATTTTTAATTTTACCTTTATTAAATATACCTATTTTAAAAATAAAATGCTCCAATATTTAATGAGCTTCCTAACTTTAACAAGGACAAAATAGTAAAAATAAATATAATAATGATTTAAAGTGATCTATAAATAAGATTAATATAAACAAACTCTCTCTACCTTATAAATAAGATCAGATGAATAAGTTAAAAATTTTCTGTATATTTTAAAAAATATTATAAACATCAAAATTATTAAAATTAATTAATAATTGATGATTGATATACTTACATCGATAATAAGTTCATAGAAAATTTAATGATATGATATTTGTCAAGGACTTAGTAGAAATGAGGTCTTATTTATAGAATAAAAAGAGAAATTTTTTTATTATATTTATAAATTACATTATTAAATTCTTACAACAAATTTTTCTTTTTACCTCCATTAAATATTGAAGAAGAAAAATATATTATTAATTATTAATGTGTGTGTGTGTGTATACATACATATATATTTGATAAGATTATAGTTGAGAATTTGTAAAACTTCTAAACAAAATTAATGAATTTTAGTTTTTTTTGTTGTTGAAGTAAAACGCATTAAAAGTGATTAGTAAATAAAGAGTGGGAGTATTAAGAGACAAATGTTGGCGGGCTTGTTTTCAAGAACACAGCGCAGAGCCTTCAATCGCTGGCCCAAAACAATGCAGAGCCTTCAATTGGAATGTCAAAATCTTTACCCTTAAAAAAAAAATGGCATGCCAAATTTGAACATATTTCTAATCAATATGCTAACTAAACTTACTGCAACCACTTAGATGTTTATTTTTTACGTTTATTTTACCCATTTGATATAAGGAAAGGGTTTCGTGATTTTAAAAGATTTAATAGGGCATTGCTAGCTAAGACAGCTTGGAGAATGTTTTAAAGTCCTGATGATACTTGGTGTAGGATTTTGAAGGGGTTATATTTTCCTAAAGAAGATTTTTTTAATGCTAAAAGAGGTAGTAAATGCTCTTGGGGATGGTCAAGTATATTAGAAGGAAGGGATCTCTTGTTAAGAGATCTTTGCTGGAGGATTAATAAGGGGGATAAGGTGAGTTTGTTTGAGGGGAGATGGTTACCTGAAGGGGTTGATTTTTCATTACAGAGGCGTGCTGTAAATGAAGAAATGAGGAGTTTGAAAGTGTGTGACATCATTAATGAGGGGAGGTGGGACTTTGGAATGATTCCTGGTTTACTCATTGACATAGATAAGGAGTTGATTTTGAAAGTGAGGTTGCCAGTGGTAGAAGGGGATGCTAGGTTGGTATGGATGAAGAGCAGGGATGGTATATTCACTGTCAAATTGGGGTACAAGGCCGCTGGGGAGTATGAGGAAAAACAGAAGCAAGCTGTACCTAGCGGATCTTATAAAGCTTCAAATAAATTCTGGAATGAAGTTTGGAAAATTAAATGTCCTCCTAAGGTGAATCAGTTTATGTGGAGGGCTATAAATAATGCTTTGGCAACAAGAGAGGCATTATTCAAACACAAATGTGCCTCGGACCCAAAGCGTGAGATTTGTAAAGTGCAAGTTGAATCTGTGGAACTTGTTTTGTGGTGGAGGGGAGGGATGTTGATGCTGTGGACTATCTAGCAAAAGCAATCCGACTGGTTCGTGATTTTAAGGATGCAAATTTGATAAAGCCAATGTCGAAGTCTAGACAGCAGATACTGATCTCTGACATCTGGTTGGCACCTGCTATTGGTAAGTTGAAAATTAATTTTGATGATGCATTTTGTTACAGTAATAATCGTGCTTCTGTTGGGGTGATTGTGAGGGATGGGAATGGAAATTTTGTTAGTGGTTTAGGATGTTTTGTTACTGCTGAGTCACCATTTATGGCTAAATGTATGGGATTGTGGAAAGCTTTGGAAGTAAGGGATAAGTTTGCTGGAACAGGATTGATTTTTGAAACAGATTGCCAAGTTTTATTCAATGGAATGGTGAATCAAGAGATTAAAGGGTGTGAGTGGGGTTGCGTTGATATTATGCAGAAATGCCTTTTGCTTTGGAGATCCTTTAATGACTGTGATCTATCCTTGGTGAAATGTAAGGGTAATAATGCTGCAGATTGTTTGGCAGCTTTGGTTATGAGGGGTGTGGTATCGGAAGGATGGCTTTTAGAGCCACCACCCTCTCTGTTGCTGTCTCTGTCGAAGGATCTTTATGGTTTAAGGCATGATGATTGTGATTTGGCTTTATGTGGATTGGTGCGTGTTGGTATTGGTTAATTCTTTAAATCTTGGGTTGGGTAGGTTATTTGTTTGATCTGACTTTATTGTTTGTTTTGGCTTACAAGTGTTTTAGTGTGTGTAATACTCTTTTTTGGTGATTAATAATATGGACTCTTTTGCTCAAAAAAAAAAAAAAAAGATATAAGGAAAGGGTTGTCTTTCCCCCAAATGTATCCCCGCTGCCAGCAACTAGGAGACTATTACCTCGAGGAATTTTAGCTTTATGTAAGGGGTGCGTATTTTTAAGAATTATACTCTGAACTAATCCTTAAGGGCCTAAATCACTATCATTTGTGTCACACCCACTTAGTCTAAGAGAAGAGTTCTTGATAAAAGTAAAAGTGAAAAGAAAAAGTGAAAGTGATATAAAAAAAATTGTCTAATATGGTGATAAAAGTGAGATAAAATTTTTATAAGCAAGAAGGATGGAATTGAGCTCTCATGAGACTATGATAGAAATAAGAGTTGGAAATTGCATCTTAAAACTAATCATTATATTATAAACATTTTTATTTAATGAATTTCTTTTTTATTATCATATTAATTATATGTTTATTATGATAAATGTATCCTTAGACAAACTATAGTAATTATCTTAAATGTCCCTGATCAGTCATTTATGAGAGATCATAGATAAAACAAGATTAGTATAATTTTAATTAATTATAGATATATAAATTAAAGGCATAGGCACTTGAAAGGGTTCAAGTTGCTAGACCAACCTGCTATGAAAAAGCTGTATAGTACTAGTCATAAGCTTATTTCATATGTAACAATATCATTAAACCTTTTGACATGAAATTGTCATGGATTCTTACATGATGACCACTAAACTTTGGTCTAGTCAAAAGTTACTTTGACCAGGTAATTATAAAGACTTTTATTAAGTTTAGTATATTCATGTAGAGAAATATGAGTGGTTAAATGGAATTTGTCCCTCATGTTAATTGAGAGATATTATTGGGCCCTTGATGAATAAGATTGAAAAAATGTATGGCCATATTACAATGAAAAGGATTTTTTTTATATTATTATGGTTAGTCTGCTCAAAAATTTAAAAAGTAATGGTCAGGCAAAGGAAAATAACAATTTCATATTTCACGCTTGACCAAAATATCATATTACAAAAGGGATGTGACACAGTTATGTGATAGGTTATATCGATCATTGATTCTATATGAATTGGATAGTTGCAATGCCTTGCTAGAGGTCACTTGTGACTTGTGTTAGTAGGGTAATTAACCTACTACCAACTTCCTATGGGCCCTACGGAGTCATATGCAAAGACGGCCCAACTCGAGTTAAAATGTTCAAGTTTATTGAATTTAAAATGTGTCCAGAAATTTAATGCTTTATCTAAGGTGAATGAATTGTGTGTGTGTGTGTATTTAAATATTATAAAATATAAAATATAAAATATAATTATTTATATATTCATGTGTGTGTATATATACTAATATATATATATATATGATATATAAAATTCAATATATATATATATATTCGAAATATATATATATATATATATATATGTTCGTGTACATACATATTTATATAATATGTATATCTTATATATTATGTTAGTTTTAAATTTAATTTTATATAATAGATTAAATTTAATAACTAACATGATATGATAGAATATCATATGAGTTCAATAATTTGAATTTATAAGATAAATTTAAATTAAATATGATATTATATATTTTATTTATAAGATAAATTTAATCTAAATTTTCATTGGCTCTTTAAGAGAAAGTCAAAAACCCTAATCTATGTATGTTATAGAATGGCGACATGCTTCATTAGTTTTTGAGTGTTAAAAAAAAAAGTTTTAACAGCAAAACATAGTGAAAGCCATGAAAACACCTTAGAGAAAAGTAACGTTCGACATTTAAGAAAATGGACGGACGTTTCAAGCTCTAGCACGCCATTCAAGTTAGAGATTTATTCTTGTGGATATTAATAGAGGGAGTTAGCTCCTAAGATCCAATTTTTAAAAAATAACGCGTGAGAAGTTCTAAATAAAAAGGTAACTCTTCTATCCACCTTGATTTAAATGAGTTCGATCAGTTTGCAATTGTGGTTGAGGGTTTATTTAAAATTTTATTCTTCTGCTATGCCCCCAATCCAACAATAAGTTTCATAATTTTTTGTGGCATTGGATTCTTGCACACTAAATAAGCAAATTTTAGACTTAGATAGGCAAAATATATAATTCGTTTTAATGATCTTCTCTACATTTATGTGGTTTCTTGTTATTTCTGTAAATGTTCACTCAAGTTAAAGAATAAAATTGAAAAAATATTTTATTTTTTGTTTAGCACTTTATAATGAAGATAACTTTTTTACTTTTATAAAATACTTTATAAATAGAACTTGCATATTAATTTCTTAAATGTTTATATTTTATATTGTTTATTCTTCTATGCTTACTCTTCAGTATTTAAAAATTTCTTATAATTATCTTAAATTGTTCCATTTAAGTCTCTCAATCTATTCCTTTTTATTAAATTTATTTTCAATCTTTTATTTTAAAAAATATAATTAGAAAGTTCTTCTTTCCTAACACCATTAGTCTATTAGACAAAAAATGCACACATGAGGTTTGAATTCTCATTGAAAGTGGTGCTTATATTTATTACTCGATTGTGCCTCAAATCAAATTATTTTCAATAGAATGATACCTATAAATAATAAAAAAGTGTATATATGGAATTACGAAAATATTTTATTACATTAATTATAGATGGATTTATTTAATTCCGTGTGAGCATTTTTTGTTAAGAAAATTAACAATGAGATAAGAGGAAGTTTTTGATTATGTTTTGCGAGTTGAAGTGAGAGGAAAAAACTAGATACTTAATAAGTTTTTTTTATCCAAACATATGCCTAATATTGACATAAATTTAAATCTTGATTCACTATGTGGTGAAGGATTAACTCCTTTCATTATAACTTATTGGTCATATTGGAATTGAAACTTAGTACAATTTGTCCATTTTTTTTCCTAGGTTCCATGACAAAATTGTTATTCATGATTTATCCAAGCAGTCTGTTTGCCTCTTCTTCCCTATGAAGTTCATCAAAGTTTTCAACATAAAAAGTACATTATTAGCGACTGAGTAATGGATCTAACATTTGATATTGTTGTTTATGACAAACATTTGATACTGTTTGGATCTTTTAGGTCAATTTTCTGACTTTACCTGTGTTGACAACGTGGCATGTTCTGTTCCTGTTGGCCCTCGGAGGTTCTTATGACAAGTTCTGGATCATGTTTCTTTTGAATTTTGACATTAAGGGGTTGCATTTTTTGGGATTAAAACGGCACAAGAAACGAGGAAAAGAGGCCTGTCTGAGAATGAACCATTTTGTCCGAAACATCAAAACTTCAGGTTGCCAGGCCACCTAATATTCACATCTCTACAGAGGAAACTGGCTAATGCAGGTCTTTTTTCTACTGATTAAATACAAGTTTATACGCGCATACACAGCCCCTATTGTGGGGAGGGAACCAGAGAAAAGTCTACAGACTAACTAGTACATTGAGTTGTAGGTGTAGCAGGTTGCAACAATGGATGAGCTGCAGATGAGGAGAGCTGGAAGTAAGGTTGCGTTCAAGAGATTGCTCTCACCCAAATACCCTGACATTGTTATTGTTGCATCTGCAACTACTCGGGCTAGAGTTCCAGCTTCGGTTGATAGCAATCCACCGTTGAATGTTCCCCTCGAAAGCCTCGATGACATCATCCTTGATAGAAGTGTGAGGTTCACTCCTGAACTTGATCATGTTAAAAGGATATAAGCCACGTTCAAGGCACAAATTTCAACTTCTGAAGCAGGCATGAGATGTGACGTAACATAAATGTCATGTCATCCCAACCAGCTTGTTATCTAACAAAGAATATGATGTGACCTTTTGGATAATTATATCCAAGAGCTAGCTCATTAAGGTAAAAAATATCCTCAAGTTCAATCTCAGTTTGAAATCGGATAATCTACATTGACATATATATACATGCCACCATAGAATGTGATTTTGTGGGATCCATATCTATCATCATATATTTTCTCTTAATCTCTTTTCGCATGCATTATTCATATTCACAAAAGTGAACGTGGAATATCTTGATTTGCAGGACTCAATTTCCATACTTCGCAATCAGGACCAAAAGGTGGCAAACAAATGCATCAAGAACATTTATAATGGGAAATGAAAGCTCCGCCCTGAATTTTAAGGCAGTCACACAATTCATATGGATTTTGTACTTGCCTATAATCAGATTTGGAAAGGAATAAAACAAAATCAGTCACCAATAGTCCAAGCAGGGGCAATCAGAATCTGATGAGGCAAACTTTCAGTCAATTTACGTGTGACTTTAGTTCTTTCTAAACTACAAACGTTTTGGTCGCATGGAATGAAAGCGAATTACCTTCAAGAACTTCAGCAGATACAAACGTAACAAGGGCTGAGCCAACATATTGCAGCACTGAGTAAGGGATGAAAATATGGAAGCTTAGGAGCAGTCCAATGCAAACCATAATTTCTGATGCCAGTAGAACTTGCCTGCAAGTAAAAGCCAACCAGAAAAGGAAAAATTAAAGAAAGGAGGGAAGATTCTTCAGATTGAGATAGCAGCCTTCAAATGCATCGTTACAGAACACTATGACAACTGAAGGGTCACCTTTCTTCAAATATATTGCTGATGTAGCTTCCAACAACTATATTTACGGGAAGTACAGTAAGACCAAGGCATGCAAGGAAAATGGCAACACTGCTGGTTGACCAAAGGAAGTAGTAACCCGTGATAACGCTTGATTCAGCTAGTACTATCTCCATTGCATATTTGAGCATAAAATAGACAAATAGTTGAACCTGATAATAAATTTCACAGTTGGGGAAAAAGACAAATTGTCTGAGTTCATTTTGATATAGCTGAGATGAACAACATTTGGGAACAAGATAAAAAGTGGAAGAATACAAGTGAAAAGACACATTATAATTAAATTTTCTTCTATCACCAGAACGATTTAGACATATCTGGACAAGTTACTGGAGTGTATACGTCACTGAAAGAGGCATGTACTAGAACCCAAGCTCGTTTAATTTGCATTTTATCTGCTTGAATAATTGGTTCACACTTCTTTGTGGAATACTTGGAATTTTAACTATGATTTATGAGCATTAAGTCTAAGCAATCTATTTTAAAGTCGTAGCTGGAAGGACATCATGTACAAGCGAACCATACTATAGAATTCTTAGGGCATATAAAAGTCAAATGCAGACTCTATTTCAAGATGAAAGGAGTCGTGATAATTTTAAGCAACTTTACAATAAGCAAATACGAAAGTAGAATCTATTAGGATTTCCTTAAAAAAAAAAAAAACACTGTCATGCTTAGTGATTAGGCCTAGTAAAATAAATTAAAAAGCATATGTAAGAATGACACGATAGAAGTTATTTCATGGCAACGGAGGTCATCATTGGCTCCTCACCTTAACTGATGGTGTGAGTAACCTATACGCCGCCACAATAGAAGTGACGGGTTTCTGGACTTCAGAATTATCACCATCTTCTTCTTCTCTGACTTCATCTTGCTCCGTAATTTCTGAATTCGTTATTAATGGCTGTGTATCAACTGCAACATGTACTACTGGAACCGGGCCAATAGAAAGAATAGCGTAGAACCATTTCATGAATAATGAAAGATAAAATAATATAAAACACGAGCACTTTCATTGATGTATTTAACTAATGTTGGCCGCTGGCAAGATCAACCTTTCAATACTCAGAAATAGCTGCATATTTTCCAATGTAACCGATCATGCAGGGGCAAAAAATGACCAAAATGATAAGATTGTCAAGTATCAACATGAAGCTAGCAAACATAACAGTTACACAAATGAGGATCCCCTGAATCTTTCTATTGCTGAAGTTTCCTGAAGTATATATCTCACATAACAGAATTATTTTTCTTAATTGATTTTCTTAAATAATACAAGCACTTCATTTTTCATACAAACAACAGCACTTCAGAAATTTCACCAAAATGATACTTTAAGATATCCGTTTTGCACACTGCATTGATTTCGAAATAACAACGAAGAATATAACAAAGAAACTGAAATACCAGTATTTGCTTGATATGGCTCAAGGTTGCCTTTCTCATGGTGAGGAGGTTCCCTGAAACAAATCCACAACCACAGTAGATAGACAAGCCATGCAAGAGCCATAACCCATCCAGGTAGAGTCTCTTCGTTCATTGTGAACTTGTAAACGCTAAAATTAGTCTGTAATAAAGAGGCAAGAGCTGGACCACATGCCATTCCTAGAGCACTTGCACTAACAAAACCTGCAGATGCCGGCATCCTAAGTTTCGATGGTACACAATCACTGATATAGCGCCTGTTAACAGCTCTTGCAGAACCTAACCTGAGATGTCAATATGTTAACCACATTGATATGCTGAGACCAAAAATTTTTATCAAGTCATGTTCAAAAACCTATAATATGCATCTACATTTATTTTGCTACAAATGCATGGGTCCAAAATCAAGAACCTTGCCGTTTTCAAAACGATATATTGTGGTAAGAGAAATCTGTTTAAATGAAGAACTGCTTCCCGCGTTTAGCTAGGTGCATTTTAGAGCCTATTAATCAAGAGAGTCTGCTTGCTATGCACTGTGCGTCTGTGCTTCCGATCTAGGATTTAGCTACAAAGGTCGCATAAGCATAGATGGAAACGATTCTGCTCATACTCATAATATTAATTTCAAATATACAAGGGGTCTTGCTTCAAAGAACTACTTTGTTATTGAAGAGAATAATTTTAAGGTGAACTAGAGGAATGAATTTTTTAAGTCTACGCCATGGTTAAGCAATGATAAAAAAACAAAAAAAACAAAAAACAAAAACAAAAACAAAACAAAACAGAATCTCAACTGCCCAATGCTTCAAGGAAATTTTATACATTGCAGGTTTTGAAATATTTAGTGATAGAAAATAGCTTACCCACAGAAAAGACGTCCAATCAGAAGAACTGATATTGAATTAAGATCATAAGCCAATGCATACAAGATGTTTCCCAATAGAAGAACAATGCTACTTATCAAGAGTGGTCTCCGATATGATCTGTTAGACCACGCACTGAAATAAACAGAAGAAAACATCTGTGCCATAGCCATTGACCCAATGACAATACCACAGACGGTTGCTGCAGCTCCAAGGCTCAATGAGTAGTTGTCTGCTGTAGGGACAATTATGTATGTGTTGACCATATACAAAAATGTGTTCACCAAGTTTAGAAGCAGCGACATGAAGTGATATCTTTGACTCTCATCTTCCACATGTTCTTCATATGGTGATGGTAGCTCCTCTTGCATGATAAAAGCATGTCTTCCCAAAAACTGAAGGAAAGTTGTTGAGTTTGATAATCTTTCTACAGCCACTTTTATAGAATCAAGAACAGGATCCTACAGAATTCAAAAGGATGTTATGATTCAAAGGATAGATTCTTCAGTATTTCATAGTTAACAATAAAATGCATGTAATAGACATGAGAGAAAACCGGGTGAGAATAAGAAGGCTGATCATATATTGATATGTAGCGTCCTTGACATTGTTGTAAGTCCCGAAGGTCTGCAAGATTGTGGGATAAGACTCCAACTACAGCCCCCATACCCTGCAGAGAAGCTATTACATGAATGAAAGTGAAGCAAAAGGAAAAAAATAAAGGTTCTTTTTCACTTATTTTGACACAAAATGGAGTGGAGAAAATGGAACAACATTAACCACACTGAATTAAACTTAGAAAATATATATTTTAAGAGTTAAGATCATTACCACATGCCTGAAAACCTGTCGTAGTTGAGAGTAAGGATGATTTGCACGTGTCTTGACATAATAGTCAGTGAATTTATAGCCAAACCGCTTATCAAATTTTTTTAAGATCTTTCTCAAGCCGATAGCATTCATTTCCACGAAGAAGAGAAGCTTTAAAAGATCCCGTCCAACCTCTCTGTACAATTCTTGGAGGTGATATGTGTTCAAATTATTTTGCGGCTGTAGAAGAGCGTGATGCTGCTGTGCAATATCAGACAGCCTATGCGCAAGTAGGCCCTGTTGTTCAAGCAGAAATAGAACTATTTCTTCTATCTGAAATTTAAGAACAACGAAAGATGACTCAAAATTAGTTGTTATTCTGAAAAGGGAATTTTGAAGAACACACTTTGGTTTTGATAAGCTTTCCTTGACCCATCATAAAAACACTGTCTCTTCCCTGGCTTATTATAGAATCACGGTGGAGTTTAGTGATATCAGAATAGGTACAGCATATATTAATGGATATATTGCATTATTTTCCATGTTATATAAGAATGATAACAAGAAATGGCATGCTTGCTTACTCTACATCACCATAAGTAGCCAATGTGCAGTGAAGAATCACCTGAAGTTCATCTTATGTCTTTTGTGACAAACTGACAATTACCAAAAAAAGGCCAAAAAAAAAAAGCATCTACTTTGTGATGAGAATAATGACTGTGCACCTCAAATTCTACACAGGGAAAACACAATCATTGGTTTCTATAATGTTATCGGATTTTGCTCTTAATTCTTGTAGTTTTTTCCCCAATATTTTCAGTCCCTCAGATTGAAAACACTAAAACTCTAAGACCTGAACAACAAACTTCACTTAATCTTACTAAAATTATAGATATCGAAAATATTGACAAAAATTACAATGACTAAAAGCAAAACTTAATGAAACAATAGAGATTGATTATTGTGTTTTCTCTAAGCTAAGATCTATTTCCAGTTTTCCACACACTAGTCCTGCAAATGAGAGTGCTGTTAACCCAGAATAGTTGCCTGAGTGTCTAGCATCCTTGAGAAGTCTCTCAGAACATGATGGCGATTTTGTGCCCCAGCCTCAATTTGCTCCACGTATCCATTGACTTTCTTCTTCATCAACTTATAGTTGATATAATGTCTGAAAATAGTTGGAAGCATCTTATTAGAAAATAATTTTCAGCTTGGTATAAAAACTGCTACTATATTAACAATAGACAAACTGTAAAAACAACAACACGCTACAAAGAAATAAAGGTCATTAAGATCAAGAGTTTCATATATTTATAAAATATAGAAAAATCAATAGTGGCACCAATTCTATGCGTAATCCTTCTTTTAAGGGTTCAGACAAGTCGGTATTTTCGAATATATATATCACCAATAAATTCTGTTAATCTGGACCAAACTGATGTTAGAAGAATTACGAGTTTATTCGTTCCAAAAGTCACTGGCTAAAAGATAAGAATCTCTCAGACAAAAGTAATTGATAGTATGTTTTCAAGCCAATATTCTTATCGCATTGAAAATTTTTGACAATGAATCCAGTCAAGTTGACAACCCTAGAAGGACCACGTTGACATTTTAAAAGCAAGACCAAGAGAGTGTAAATTGACATGACAGTTCTCATGAACTCAGCATGTGGTCTTCCTAGCAAAAGAGAAGAAAATGAAACTTATTGGGATAAGGAATGCCGTCAATATGTTTAAACTCCTGGAGCCATGGAATGAAGTAGAAAAATAATACACACTATTCAGGGTATTCTAATTGCTTGTCTTATATGTATACCCCTTCCATTCTTGAATTTGTGATTCCCTCAGCTTCTTCCCGAAGGCAACCATATTCCGAAAGATGCTCTGTATCAAAGTGAAAAAAGAAAGGGAAGAGGTTTGCAGAAAAGTTACCGACAACTACCTCAAACTATTAATGAAGCTTTACATGTTTGTTAAAACAGAACGACAAACCTGCAGGTAACGATGGCCGTTTACTCTTCTTTGAAGTCAATGCTTCAATCGGCTGGCCAGAAAAGGAACGAAGATTTTCAACGCAACAATATCATGGATTACAGCTGAAACCAGAAGATTGATCTCAGTTAGGATATCTGTAACAATGAACAAAAAGCACTGTATTTTTTATCTAGTTTTTGGTGCCAAAAAATGACAACAACGAGCTGAAAAATGAGAAACGAAAAGAAGACCGCTGAAGAACACATATACTACCAAGTCTTTATTTTTGTAGAGTAATGTTTTATTTTCCTCGAAACCTGCCATGTTTCGCTTATTCAGGATGGAGAAAAAGCAAAGAAGTAATTGGTACGAAGCGTGTAAAACACGTACGCGTCTATGTTTAATACATTCCCAAAACGGCAGTCATAATGTCACGTAAAACTTACAGCCAAATCGCTTATGTCCACGAACAAATGATATAGTCATCATCGTGAGTAAGAAACATATAATAGGGTGGTGGAAGTTGCAGAGAGTTCAAGCTCATCGTCCCCGTGTATATTTATAAAACATGATTTTTTTCAACATTCTCAAGACGACGGCATGAACTTCCAAACATAAGAACTTAAACAACTCTAGCTCCAAAAAAAGAAACTCAAACTCTTCACAGACTAGCTCAACGCCATGAAAGGACAAGGCAAATCGAGAAATCAGGGCGAGGGGGGAGAGAGAGCAATACAGAAACCACTAGAATAGCAAGAGCAAATCCAGAAGCAAATACCGGTTTTGTAGTAAATGCAATATATAGATACAAATGAAAAGGGGATTCTCTACAATATATAAGACAGAGAATGAGATTGAAAGAAGAGGGCTATACGGGTGTTGATTGGTGATGTTTGTGAAGCAGGAAGAGCATCAGAGCTGATGAAGATGCAGAGAAGAAAAGAGAAGAGTGGTGGCATGGCATGAGAAACTAATTAAAGGTGAATAATGGCATTGGTCTCAATGTTTTAATGAGAGGAGAAGAGGAGTGAGAGTGGTGGAAGCGGAAGAACAAGGCGCAAGGAGGGTATATAAAAGGGCAACTGGCACGTGATGCACGGATGGCTTCGTAAGTTGCCGCGCGCGCACCCCCGTCCCTCCGGACAATTCCCTGCCGTTATGCTCTGTCTTTGTACAGTCACCATTTTCAATAAACTTGAGTCCTCATAATGTCGCGCATAATTATTACTATCAGATTAGAATTGATTCATGCAAACTGATAAAAGTTGGTTCAAATGATAAACATGAAAACCTTGTTGATAATAGGCAATATGTAAATACTAGATGCCTCTATTATAATTTTGAATCTGAATTAATGCCTTGAGTTCGCTTGGCAACTAAACTCTCACTCAAGAATTGGATCATGCAAATATATATTTATATATATCTCACAATAATCATATAATATAGTTAAAGAAACTAAAAGAAATAATAGAATGAGATGTAAAAAAAATACTTACGTGGATGCTTTAGACCAAGAAAAAAGTTAAACACTTTCTTCCTTTGTAATTGGATCTGAATGAATTATATTATTTATAATTTATGAAAACTATGTTTTATTATAAATTTTATATTTATAATTTATAATATCTTAGCTATCAAATTCCACGCTGAGAAATCCCACTTAATCTTTTGAAATTCAGAAAAGACATGTAATATAAAACATTTTTCTAAAAAATAAACATAATGAAACATAGTGAGTAAGTATGAAAATCCCATTAATTTTAAATATTCATTAAAAAAATTTTAAAAATGTCTTATATTTGCAAATATAGTATCTCCCTAAAAATATCTTATAATTTTGAACCACACAGGGGGTTAGACATTCTGATAAATATTAGCATGAAGAAGTGATATATGAGTGGCGGGTATCCGTTGATTTGAAATTTTGAATACAAACAAAGAAATAGCCAATTTGCTGTGAATTGCAATGATGGAGACATTTTTTTGTTTGACTCACTTTGGAAGAGATCATAATATACGCATTTGTGTTTATGGATGAGCGACATAGTAAGGATCACTAATTCTTCACATCACAAACTTGAGAGCAAAATAAGTGATGTAGAGGTCAGATTAACAGTTCCTTGGCTTTTAAAACGAGAAAAGGCCACACACACACACACACACCCATATCCAAAAACCATAATTTTATTTCTAATGATAACAATGTCATGGTAAACACCTTCATCATTTCTTTATGGAAACACTAAACCTTTTTGGGAAGTGGCGACCTTGGTTTGTCTAGTTTGATCCAACGCAATTTGGATGTGCTATATATATATCCAAAATGAATACTGTGCACATTTTTATTTCATTCATCTTCCACGAAGCACGCAAGATGCAAAATTATTGCACATTTATATATATCAATCTTCTAACTACTTAACTTAATTATAAAATAAATAATTAGCTAACTCAAGAATTCACAGAATAAATAATACAATCTAAAATGTCTATATTTTATCTGAATGGTGCATCCGCAAGTATAGCACCAAATTAAGGCTCGACAAAGCAAGGGAATTTTTTTATCCACTATGTCTATTTTAGATCTATGACTATTATGTAATCATTTATGTACTTCTTTTTTTACTTATTTTCAAAGTAAAGATACGAAAATTATTTTGTACTTTCAAGGCCATTTTGAAAAAAATTTGTGATTTATTTTTATTATGAGTGTGAAATAAATTAACTCTTGTATTTTCAGCATTATAGTTTTTTTTTTGAAGTTAAAATATCTCATTTTGGTAAATGTATACGTTTCGAAGTGTCTTCTTAGTAAGGCTGTGGAAAAGTTTGGTAGTCCTATCCAACTCAAGCAAACTCAATTCGATTCGACCATGTGGAAAAATTGACCCAAAGGATTGAAAGGACTAAAAAGATCAGATTCCATCCTTGGGTTGGACTAGATAAGGGACTAAGTGTAAGGTCTCCCTCACTAAACTACAATCAATTTCATGTTATAGGTAATCATCAAGGGATTATTCCCAAAAAAATTACCAAGTTTGTAAAATTTTAAGAGCGAGATCCCAAGTTTTCACAATTCAAAACATTCCAATTATAGACATATTTATCAAAAATTAGAGTAAAAAATCTTCACGAAAGCATGGGAATCTAAATAGTTTCGTAGCATTTGAAAAAAAAAAGTTTGGAAAACATCATTTTTAGCAAAATAGCATGATGCGCCGTGGCTTACGTGAAGATGGTTGAGCTCATAAACGTCAGCAAGATGTTTAATAGCATGAGCTCATTTTTAGCAAGATGTTTAAATTCCGTTACTACAGTTTAAAAGTTGAAATTCCAAGAAAACCCTTTTTGAAAAGATGGTTGAGCTCAAGCTGAAATCTAAAACACATAAAATGAAGTAACAGAAGCATAGAAGCATAAATTAAGTCATAAAATGATCAAAAGAGGGTAATTTGGGCACGAAGGGATCAGTTCCTCACTGCGTAATGTGCTACAGTGTAACCTTGCTGTCATGACAGCATTCTAGGTCTAACTTCTAGAGAGCAATGTTTTACCATTCAATGTTTGATTTGAGTAATTTAAGTGTCCACACGTAACTCTTTAAGCCACTTAACTATTGGTATCGATTTCACAACCAAACACTTTATCATTTAAAAGTTGGATACCCAACCCCAAAATTGCCCTTTTCTTTTTCAAAACAAGCTCAAGGGTGTTCAAATTCACCAACCAAGTGCCAATGACTTTAAGACCACTTAAACCAGCTCAATTGGATCATAATGCACCTAATAAAGCAAATATACAACATTACACACAATCTAAGCACAATATGACCATTAAAACCTCGATTTCTCAATAATTTAAGGGGTGGCAATAATTCAAATATAACAATCTCTTGGCCATTAAAGCACACAAGCACCACAATAACACACTTGCAATTATATCTTGACCTCTTACAATAATTTCATTACAATTGCATTCTTCTTAGGCTGAGATACCCACAAATCACAAATTCATATAAGTGTACCAAAACGATGCATAATTTTAAGTTGGCATAATTATAAATAGTTCATTATACCATGCACCAAAAGGAAATGAGCTATACAAATCCAATTTCTTTAGTTCTCGATAATGTCTTCATTCTCTTTGTCTCTATTGAAGCCTTCATCTATAAAATATAACCATGAGGATTGGTCAATAATTCAGTAACTAAATAATATAATCTATCCACAAGTACATAAGAATAGCATATGAGAGTGTAAAGTAGCAAATAAAACATTTATCGAATACATATCAAACACATGATATCATATTACAACACATACAATGCATGATCAATATTCTTCACCTTATAACCAAGTACTCCATGTGACTAGACCGGCCCAAGCTCACTAATCATGGGATGCAGCCTTGGCTAAAGGCACCTTCACCTATTATGGACCACAGATTCCCTCTGTCCTCAAATACCTAAAGTTTCATATGCCTAATTTTTCTCATATAGTACTTAGACTTTTAAACAAGAAGAAGACTAAGCATCAGGGCCTCTACGATGCCAATATACCATATGGATTCCAAACAAATATTCCCCCGATAACTCTGGGGTAAACTCCCATTCTTTTATAATGATTATGCTCATAACATCTTTGTCATATACATATCACTCATGAAGCATACTCATATATCAAGTACTTATATTTCACATTGTATCCACTTTTACAATCTTTCGTAAATAACATAAGAACGAGTTTTTAAGCATAGGCAATTATTTAATTCAGTACCATATCATATGAATTTCTAAAATATTAACCATGCAAATATAAATCATAATTTTCATAATAATATATATATATATATAGACATATACACTTTCACAAATTTCATAGAAATTCAAATACACAAGTAAAAGGATTAGATTATCCGATTACCTTAACTCTTTTGTCATAAACAAAGTTACCATGGCAATTTGATTACTCTACAATAATCTACTAGCTCAACAAGGCTCAATCAATGTTTAATCTACAAGATTAAACATTAATAATCAATTATAACTCTAATTAAACTCCTTTTTAGCCTAATCTTGGGTACCCACTATATTCAAATTCTCCCTTTTACACCATTAACACTTTTAATACACTTTAATAATTCCATTCAATATTTGAATACTTAGATAACATCAATTCTTCACCCACATTACTTCCAATTCTCACTTAAGGTTCATTTAAACCGTAACTAAAAATTCTAAATCACTATAAAATCCATAAACCTAAGTTTAGAAGTTTGATTTAACTCTCAAAGGCTCTAACTAAGCTAATGGATTCAGTCAAAAGCCAAGGGAAGAAGAAAATAACGTCTAAACCTAACCTACAACCTTAAAAATTTGAATATAAGGAAAGAGGGGGAAATGAAGCTTACCCAATGATGTCTCTAGCTTGTATTGCCCAAAAAAGCCCAGATAACAAAGCCCTAGCAGAGCCATAAGTCTCCTCCATTGCCTTTTCCATTTTCTTTCTTTGTATCCTTCTGGTTTCTAGTGTGTGTAAAACCAATAAGGCAATTTTTTGCATGTTCACCATGGCAGATGACACAGTAAGGCTCAAAATGATTTCGGGCCTTTCTTAGTGCCAATCCACACAAACTCCAAACTAGCCATCTTCTAAAGTTGTCCGATGACTCAAAAACCTCATTAATGGTCTTAAAATATTATTAATTCATTAGTCCATCAATTTTATTGTTCGCCCTCCCTCTTCTCAGAGTTTACCCCCTAAGTGTCCTTGGTAAAGTGGAGAGTAAAACCCTTTCAAGCCCAATTTACTCAGGACAGGATACACTGGTAGTACAACCATCCAAAAGCCTTCCCAATGATCGAATTACCTAAGGGCATGGCATATCGCCCACTCGCCTGGTTTGATCCCATAACCTCTCTTACAAAGTGAAGAAGTAGGCAGTATTGGTACCACTGAGCTGATCACATTTATTAATTTACCCCTTATTAGACACTAAAGATTTAAAGTTAAAAGCCAAGGATGTT